TTTATCGGCAATTATAGTATATTTGTCCTTGACTGTTCGTGTTAGCAGTTGAATTATTTATTTTATTTCTGACCGGGATATTATAAGCTTATATCGTCATAGTTACGCTATCAATAAAGAGGGTCATAACTCCCTTGGGACATTATAGATTTTATAATTCCCTCTACCTTTCACAAGTAAAAATAAATAGAAATGAAAACTGAACCATATTTTATTTATTCACGTCATTACAAATAATAAATGTACAATTTTGAAATGTTCCCTGAAAATTACTTCCGCCACTGGAAACAATTCCTTCTTTTGTATGGCTGGAGCTTCTGTTCACTACAGTCGAGGTACCTGCCTCTTCTGATGACAAAGTAGACAACATACGCGCCGTTTTATTTCTCAATTCGATGCTATCCTCCAAATACCCCTCCGCCACCGTGGAACTTTTCCAACCTCCGTGTCTTTTTAAGTTAGTCATAGTTGCTCCTGCATTGGCTAGAGCAGTAGCAGAAGTGCGACGAAGGCAATGTCCCGTATAAGAAGATGAGTTTGGCAATCCTAAATACATTGCGATTTTGCTGGGGATTTTCCCAAACATGTTTTTTCCGATTGGCTGAGATGTACATTTATTTTGTCGGAAGCTCAAAAAAAATCGTTCAATACCTTTAGGACGCAAAGACATATAAAATTTTAATAAAGGCAAAGCGGAGAACTCTTTTTCATCCACAACTGTAAATTTCTTCGATACACCAGTTTTACTTTCCGGAACGTTCACTGCCATAACGGAATCCCGGTCCTCTATATCCGATATCTTCATATTCAAAAGTTCCTGACTTCTGCATCCTCCAAAATAACCCATAATCAAAACAACCCATAACAAAAAAAAGGAAATATATACACACAAAAAGGAAAATAAGAAAAAAATTACCTTATGCAATAAATGAATATCATTAGGAGCGTCCTTTAGGAATCTGATAACATCTTTAGGAGATAAAACAGCAGACTTTTTCGGCTTATAACTCTTACTCTTCCGTTTCAAAAAAGCCTGTAGTTCATTGAACTTGGTGATATCTCGTTTCTCATGTATATTCCACCATCGATTTTAGCATTGACCATTTAGTCCATAAAGAATTCGGACTATACGTTTCTGACTGAAACGAAATAAACACAATTACTACCAAATCTACCGAAAAACATAGAAAATTCCTTACCAGTTCTTGAAAATATACCAGAAATACAGTTTCAGTGACATCTTTTGGCATAACATTTTTCCGTGTCAGCCAGTCCAGATATATCTTTTATTCTTTTTGGTATACGGCTTCACTTTTCGATGGAATTAATGATTCTCTTGCTTGTTCAGCTTTTTTCAAAATATCCTTCATTATATTTGGGGTAGAAAACACGTTTTCACCGCAAACACAGCTTGATAACAAAGTTCTGTTTATAAACAAGTAACATAGCAACAACCTAGTGGGCCAGAGGCCCTCGGGACGCAAACTTTGCCATCGGTAACTAATTCCCATGATACATAAATAACTATAAGGTACGATTCTTCTGTTGCACATTGAACACTATCCATCTGGTTTTTTTTCTTTGTGGATCACAGCATGTTTTCCACTGAGCATAACTGTTGTGGTATGCTACATCACAGGTTGCGCAGTTTACACCTTTTATAACATTTTTTCTTGCAATATTTGCAGGTTTTCTTATGAGCTTCTAAATTGTCAGTATCACTGTCGGCCATTATAACATGTGACCAAAATTGAAGGGACCTATGAAAGGAATGCGTTTTGCGACGATTGAAGGGACGAAAACCGAATCGTTGAGTGAGCTCAAGAACATACTAAAAAGTGCATATCAGAACTGCTTCGAGCAATGGAGAAAACGCTGGCACAAGTATATTTTATCTGAGGGGGATTACGAAATATTTCATTATCCAAGAATAAAAAAATCAGATGTTTTGGAATTATAGGGGCTGGGCTTTTGTTATAACTGAAGTTATGTTTCGTCACACAAAGTCCATTGAAAGTAATCGACAGAGATGGGTGATGAAGATCTTGGCATTCTAAAGGTAAATTATCAAGCGAGAGATTACAATTTATTTTGCATATAACTAAATCTAACAAATTGTTACAATGGTTTTCACAGCAATGTAATGATTGAATCCGGAAAAAGATAATTTTTTATTGTGTTCGTTTTATCTTCGGAATTATTCACAGAAAAAAGAGTACAATTTAAATCTAATACCGCAACTTCCAAGCGCTTCGAAGGAAATTTCTTAATCACAGACTATTCGCTCTCTTTCATTTTTGGAATGTGGTAACTTGCTGCATAAAAATAATTATTTGAGGAATGGCTGTTGCCTGCGAAATACTTCTTAGGTAAGACGATAGTAAAGATACTCAAAAGTGATGACGCTAATAAGAAAGTTCTAGATGGCAAAGCATGAATGTGCAAAATGCAATCTGAAAATAAAAGAAGTAAAAAAAGTAAAAGCGAAAATTGCTTCGAACCAACAGACAAGGAAACTTCTACACCTCGAATTGAATATGAAGACTCGGACAAGACACATTTAAAAAAAACATAACGGAACTCTCTCTCTCTCTCTCTCTCTCTCTCTCTCTCTCTCTCTCACTATTGCTATTGAATATACAATATATGAAAACAAATCTCAGGAATTATGTATATTTCTAAAAGTTCAGGTTTCCCATATATTGTTCTTACTGAAAATTGGCTCAGAGATAATAAGTTATTTTTTTGAAAAGTACTCTAGAGTCTCAGTTTGCAACCGAAAAATATTATCCACTGGCGAGACACACATTCCCGTCAATAACCAATCTGAGCAAAACTCGTTTCTTCCATTAATATTCTATATTTAGCTGACCTTCTGAAAGAGAACCAATTCGAAATTTTCATCGAATCTTTGTGTGATATTCATATATGGTGGCCCCGCGTATGATGTGATCACATTCCTAACCAAGCTTGAACTGCTAATAAATAAACTACCACTGAAATCCTCAATAATATTGACCTCACATCCAGTGATCTCAACATCAATTATCCTATTGGCAACTGGCCTATTGAATTTGTTGCCTGAAAATTTGAAAAATATCAACTTCAAAGCACCCTTTAAAAATTTGGTTATATGAAAATTATTGAGCATCAAAACATGATTGAAATATGACCATGAATATTGATTACATCAAATGGTTGAGTCTTTTGCGGCCGAGGTTTTCAGTATCACTATTTTTCGGGTTTGAAGGCCGTCGATATGTAGAATTTCTTTCTAACGTTTCGCTGGCGAGGGTGATTATGTTTTTCAGAGGCTTATATGTCCTGAGTAATCTCCGATGACTGGATATTACGGCTGCGTTAAGGCCGGGACACACTTCTTCATACACCTCTCTGATCCGACTCCGGTTTGATTTTGCCCCAAAAGCGGATAGGTGCAGGATCGCCAGTGTGTAATCACACTTGTCATACATGCTTCCGACTTCTTTCTGATTTACCGCTCCTGCTTGATACACTTGCCACTCTTGGCAGTGTTGATTCAAACAATATCTAGAAAGGTCCTCTAAGCCATTAGGGTAGTACTCTGTTTGGAAGAAGAAGATAAAGAAAATCGGAGAGCTCTCATAGAGAACAGCGATACAGCTCTTCAGTTTGGTTATACAGAAGTGGATATTTTCTGACTTGTTCAATAAGCTCCTCCGGTTTTATTGACATTTTTTAAATTCAATTTGAAGAAAACAAAAACTCAAATATCGTACAAACTCCAAGCGATACGCGTCCCGCAGCTGGAGAACAAATAGGCTGCACCACAGTATTTCTGTATATACAAAATACTGTGGCTGCACCATCGGATCATGATCATATACAGAATCGGAGTCGGGTGGGAGCGGGGTTTGTCACGTATCGGAACGATGTGAACTACTCTATTCAGACTAAAGTACCATTTCTCTCTCAGATAATCGTCCGACTATATGATGGGAATCGGATCTGAAGAGTGTATGACAGGTGTGTCTCGGCCTTGAGGCGTATTTATGTTAACTCAGATGCTATCCCCGATAGCACCAAATATTTGGTAAATATTTTCTTTGCATGAAATAAATATTTATATTTGAAAGGGTTATATTTTTAGGAGTGATTAATTTTTTGGGAAAGAAAGTTTTTGGCTTTCTACTACTCCATCTGATACAAAAAAATGGATGAGAGAATCTTCCAAAGAAAGGAAGGATTATTCAATTTGAAAATAAGTAACTCTATACATGGATGTGTAGATCATGCAAAGAAGTAAATATTTTATAAATATTTCGACAAGAATGAATAATATATAACAAGTTTTAATTTGAACCAAGATGTTATAGGTACCTACTATAAAGACAGTTTATTTTTCGTTTTTGAAAAATATTTCTGCCCAAGTAAAATACAAGTTATAAATTTTATTTAATCTTGTTTTCTTTATATTTTGAGAGTTTAAATCACAATCTGCGTTTATTCAGTTATTCCAACGAAAATTAAGTATTTCTAATGCTTATTTTTTGTATTTTTATAATTTAAATTGAAATTCTTTAACACAGCAGAGTTCTACTCTTGCGCAATCAGTGACACAGTGACTGAGCATGCATTGAGGTGTAGAACGTGAACGTGTGCGGGACGAACAGCTATGTTTTGTTTTGTCTTTTGTCCGGCTTTTTATGTTAGACTTTTGGAGACAACGTGCAAAACGTGTTTCGTGTAGATATACTTTGTTAGAATTGTTTGTTGTTTCAATTTGAACTATATGGTTAAGTATTATCATGAATAAGCAACGCAATTCTTTACACTGTAAAAAATACCGTTTTAAAAAAAAGAACATCGAGAAACTACGTCATTCTTTGAATATTTTTAATTTAGAATCTGAAAGTTCGGCGACTAGTGTAGTGGTCAACAACAACAATATGAATCGGATATAATTCCAGTTAAGTTAATAAGTTAATTGATTATGGTTCTCTGTAATCAACAAAAAATTATAACATATGAAGAGAGGTCAGGAGAAAAATGTACTTTGTCCATTTTAGATAATCTTTTGAGTTATTTCAATTTTAACATTATTTTGTTATGAGAACAAATTTTCACAGTTGCCGATAATCATTACCTCAAGAACTAATTTTATTTGTACCAAAAATGTTTGTATTGTTGAAGTGCTAATTTGGCAAGGAAAAAGTGTACTTTGTCTCTTATTTGTAATGTGGTAAGACTAAACAAAGTAAATTCTTCCCCTGACCTCTTCATATGGTAAAATATTATGGTTTTATTTGCAGATGAGTTTTCTATATCTTGCAACTCACACAAAAGTGTATATATGGCAATGCAAAAGATATTTGCCAAAAATTTAGCTATATTCTACAGTGGACAAGGCAAAAAGAAGAAAATCCCTTTTTGCTCTATGAAGATTTATGAAGCTGTTGTCTGTGAGTATGATTGGTTCAGTTTTAACAAAAAGAATGAATATTATTTGATATGAAAATAATTGCTTTTTTTTTCTTTTTAAGCTGCAGTTAGGAAAAGGCATAATAATGTGATTGACGAATCAATTAAAAAATCTGTCTCCTTGTTTTTAGCTACTGCGAAATCGAGATTATTGAATAAACAGAATGCATTAGGCAGGTAGGTATAGTGCCTGTTGTTATTTTGTTATCAAATATTTTAGTGGTTCTATGTAGGCTTGTGTTAAGTCAGACCTCTTTTAACGAAAATATATTTGAATCTTTTTTGTTCTTTTCATGAATAACTATAAATAAACTACTCATGATATCATCAGTTGATGATATAGTTATTATACATTGAAATAAGACTAAAAGCTTAACATAATTTATAGCAATAACATGCATGAAAATCTTTAATACTGTGTAACCAATATTTTTTTTTAATATTTACAAAATATTTTTTGCTATCTGGGTAATACCAGTAGCTGGATTAGGTCAATTTCGTAAAGCGTGTTCATGTTGATTCACGTAGTTTGATATGCTAATCTGTACCTGGATAAGGTAAATTGTCAATAACATTCGTCGACCCTTTTCTACCTGCCGTTCTGTTGTTTGCTATACTTGAACTTCTTAGAATGGAATTCCGAGATTAACAAGGCCATGAAACTGAAGAGTTTCATGGTTCAAAATTGGAATGAGGCTTCGATGATTGCATGTGCCTGTCTACATTATATACCTAGGGTCATAGACAGAATGGCGAAACTCTAGAGAAAACACAACATCAAAATGGTTTTCAAATCCACCAAGAAAATACAACAAAGTCTCATCGGAAGCACAAAAGATCCATTGGAACAAGGCTGAAGGAGCATGAAAGAAACTACAGACTAGGCCCAACCGACAAGTCGGTTGTAGCGGAACACGCACTCAGTGAAGAAAACCACAAGATCCTGTTTAAAAACACTAAACTCATTGCCTCCAATCAGAAATATCATAGCCGACTGGTACGTGAGGCAATAGAGATCCACAAACTCACAGATAGTTTTAACATAGCATAACATAACATGAATACAGTACACGCCACGGCTGATAGAGAGCGATCACGCGTGTATATATAGACTCTCCCAACTATTGGATTACGATAAACCCTTTACCGGCCAGTATCGTACCTATAATTAGTTTCAATTAGGGTAGCAAATGGAACATGACTTTGTAATTTATTTTCATATTTTATTTAGTATTATAGGTAGGTAGTAGTACAGTTCATTCAAATGTTATATCCAAAATCACTGAATTTACCTCTGTTTGATCGGGTGTGAATGTTTCATTTTCCCAGTATTTCTGCTCTATATGTACTACATGTCGGCAACGTTTTGCCATTCCTCGGAAGTGATTTGATCAAATTCTCGGCCAGTTTCGTCACATCTTTCAACTTGAAAGTTACATTCATTCGGGACACGTTGTTTTTGACAGTAGCCCAAATGAGTTCAATGGGATTCAAATCCGGTTGGTAGGGTAGAAGTCGCAAAACGTTATGTCCGTATTCAAGCGGAACCTCATCAAATTAGTATCTAATATGATGATTTTCATTTACCTTGATCAACTCGTATAATTCCGGTTTGAGCATGTGAGGGGTGAACATAATGCTTGTTCCCTACAGCCACTTCACCATGTCAGTCTTCCTAGAAGGTGTTGGGGACCGGATTAATTTGATTATTATGATATGGAGCATTATCCGTCACGACTACCGAATTCGTAGGTAAATTTGGGATTAACTTTTCTTTTAACCAATGACCCTAATTTTCAGAATTAATTTCTGAATGATAATCCCCTGATGTGCCTGATTTAAATACAAGCTGACAATTAGGTATAAAGTCCATGTCACCTCCTGCATGGATAATAATAAGTCTTGGTCCATTGGCAATATTTTAAAATAACCCTTTTGTTGATTCATATGTCCAGTTCTTGGAAGATGTATGTCCACTATGAAGGTATTTTACTAATGGTCGCTATTGGCTACGAAAATAAATGATTTTTTGTAAATACTTTATCCGCAATACTCCAATAATGTCCTTTTTGTCTGCTAAATTTTTCTTCTACTATTTACAGTCCTTCTACATTTGAAATTTCTTTAAAATTCTACCGTAATACGACATCGTTCCGTCTTATGAAAGTCGCAAATGATCCGTTCAATATTGGAATACTCATACTCGGGAGTATCAGTTAGAGATGCTCTTCTAGGCCTCTTCTTTCTTGGGGTGGAAAATGTTACTTCTCCGTTATTTGTAGAAATTAATTGCTCCCCTTCTTCAACCTCTATTCCAATGGTTCTTATTGAAATACCTAATACAAAATAAATATTTGTGTTCAAATAGTTATTTTATAAATTTATTTACTGTTACCTGTAGTGAGAGATGTTTCATTTTTTACATTTGATAACGTATCCGACTCACATTTAACACTTCGAAAATAATTGAACACTTTAAAAATTATTTTACGTGCCTGACTCTTGATGGCGATGACATTTTTTCAGAAACAACACAAATTATTCAGACAATGCCAAACGCAACAACATTGGAGGACAAGTAATGATACGCCTCTGTACAGAGCATTTGTATGTCTTGCAAGAGCTGTAGTGGGGGTTACATTGAAAATGAGTTTGCGCGCATGGGGGGCGGACTTGCCATCACGTTTGGCTCTTGCTGTAGGCGTGACGCAGCCGTATAATCCAGTCATCGGAGATTACTCAGGATGTATAAACCTCTGAAAAAACTAGCCACTCGCACCAGTAAAACTTAAGGAACAAATTTCAAAAAACGACAGCCTTCAAACAAAAAATAGTGACACTGAATTGATTACATAATTCATTCATAGTTCATCATTATGCTTTCTGTTATACTCGTCCATTTCGATCATTATCAAGAAATTGAATTGGAAAAGATTTTTTTTTCTATCGCTTAGTTATTTTAATGAGTTTTTAGTATTGGTTTTTATTTTCATATACTATTTTTTGTTTATATCTTATACATTTTCACCATGCATTCAATTCTGTTTTACTTACCAAGCATTCTTGTTGGAAACATCAAGTTATTAGTTATTGTAGTACATAGCTGAATTTTGCAACAAATGGCTAAAGTGGCTACAAAAATCGATGAAAAAAAAGTTGATGATGAAATCAAAATAGGAGAATTTTCTCCAAAAGAATGAAAAACATAGAAGTTTTTTAAATGAGATTTCCTTTATTTCCATTAGTGACATCGCTAAAACTGCATGATTTCTCACGGGTTTTGGAACCAATGATATTTGAAATGTACTCTTCTTCTTGTAAATCACTTGAGTGATTGTAAAACTTTCACTCGCATCGCAAGAGTCTAGTTTCAAAGCTTATAAACATTATCAAGTCTTGTTTTGTTGGCACTCGGATTGAGTCTTTCCCATCAACTTATTCGCTACTTCTGCTAAATCGAATTCAATTTTTCATTTTCCAATATTTATCAACGGAATATATAGGTAATTTTTATTTATTTCCATGTTTCATGGAAAGTATACCTATGCATTCTCTGGAAACTTAAATGAAATTTATGAAACATCAGACTTGACCGAAATTGCTTTCTACACTGTACGTAAAATGGTCAAAAACAAACTTATGAACGCATGACGCGATGTGATACAAGATTACCAAATCCTTTAGATGTTCATCTGAAAAAAACAATTTACGACTGTAACAAAAGCAATGAGATTCCTACAACTGAAATCATAAGTTAGAAATTGAATACTTCCGGCCATAACGTGAGGTGCTATGACAAAACTCTTCAGAATTTGATAAAGAAACTAGGATTTAGATTAAAAATAATAAACAAACGCCAAGCAGTCATGGAAAGCAGAAGAATAGAGGAATTGCGTAACAAACTTGGTATGACACTCAAGACACAGTTACGAAAGGGTGGACTGATGGTTCGAGAATGTGTACGCCTAACATGCCTGCAAACAAAGGATGGCGACTAATCATTGTGCATTGCGGAGGAAGTAAAGGATGGGTTCCGAATTCTTTGAAATTATGTGGAAAAAAACTTGAGGACTGCAATGTTGACTATCATAAGAACATGGAAGCAAATATTTTCGAGAAATGGTTTGAAAACACATTGATTCCAAATTTGGATAAGAATAGTATAATAGTTCTTGACAACGCTTCCTATCATTCGTGATAACTCATCAAAGAAACAAATGAAAATTCGATGAAAGATGAAATACAAAGTTTTTTAATGGATAACAATTTGTTTTTTAAAGATTACTATACCAAAAACCAACTACTTGGATTTTTACAGACAAAAACATTAGAAAAAGTGTATGCCCTTGAGAGTATGGCTGAAAAGTATCGACACACCATGCTGAGACCTCCCCCCTATTTTTGTGTTTTCAATCTCATCGAGTTCATTTGGGTAAAATTGAAACAAAGCATCAGGCATAAAAATAATTTTCCAAAATTCGATAAGAAGGTGATAGAGCTGATAAAAGAAGTATCTAATATTACCGAAGAAGACTGGCAGAAAAGGATTAAAAAAGTAATTTTGGTTGAAAAAGACTATACGGAAATTGGACACTGCCATATTAATGGTGGAAATAAATTCATTATTGATTTAAATGTCGACAGTGAGAGTGAAACAGAGAATACGAAAGAGCAATTATCAGAAGCTTTCGAAGAAAGTTAGTGAAGTGTTTTTGAAGTGAACGATTGTTTGCTATCACCAATTTTATTAACCAAATTTTGAAGAATAATCAAGAGAAGTAAAATAAATGTGTTTAATTTTAATGATGAAGAAAAGAGACTGAAACTTTCTATGTTTTTACCACTTTTATTTGTAACTAACGTTATTGCAGTTTCGTCCTATATGGACATTTTCAAACTCATACATTAAAGTATTTAAGTGTCAATTCTCTTTTCTTCTTTAAATACATTGTATGAATGAATGTATGTGTTTGAAAATGTCCTTATAGGACGAAACTACAGTAACGTTAGTTACAAATAAAAGTGGTAAAAAACATAAAAAGTTTCAATTCTCTTTTCTTCATTACGATTTTCTACCACATAGTAACAGCTACATCCATCAATTTACTTTGTTTTTATGTTTTCAATAAATATAATTTCTGTTGAAAATTTTTTTATGCTTTTTTGCATACCTTCCAAATACGTATTAAATGGCAGCTCGCGAAAATTTTCAAATTTTGAGAAATGGCTCGGACTATCAAGGAGCTTGGCCATCCCTGCTACTTATTTTTTTTAATATCTTATGGTATAAATGGAAGATTGGAAAATGTAGTGCCAACATAAAAATTATGAAATCATAAATTACTCAGTGGAATTCAAGTTAAACCCGTATTTATAGTTCATTGAGAATTTTAAAAATGGATTTAAAATATAGCAATTTTGGATGAACTTAGAAAAAACTTAATTAAAATGAAACTGAAGTAGGGGTTGGTCTGAAAAGATGACTGCGCCAAACAATAAGGTGAATTATTACTTAGAAGTGGTACAGTATCACATGAAAAAACTTGGTTTTCTTTCAATTTTACATATGTATTCATTCATCGAGTTCACATTAGTCAATGAAATTACATTTATTTCTTTCTACTGTTTTTTGGGTATAAAACCTTCCACAATCTGAAAAGTTCACCTGGAAAGGTTACAAATCGAAAAAAAAAATTATACTTTGGTGGTCACTGATGGTATTGGCATATCGATTGGCTCATGCCATGAAATTTTTCAGAATGTTTTGGATATGGAATGCGTGACAACGAATTTTGCCCCAAAATTCTTTAATTTTGAATAACAAAAAAAAGGAGAATGGTAGTTACTCTAGAGTCACTAAATGAAATCAACGACGATGCAGAATTACTGAATTGTTTTTCTGGAATGAAGGGTTTCGACAAGAAATGTGGAAATCTTTCAAGGGAAGAAAGAAAGCAATTAATTATAAAATTAACTCTCCACAAAGATGTGTAGATCTGCAAAGAAGTAACTTTCCAACACAAACTGGAAGAGAAACCTTTCTCAAAACAATTATATTGAATTAGACAAAAATACTACGTTTTCCTATTCAGTTTGGTCTCCAAACATTTGTTATGGAATTGATTCAGATATCATTGACAGGAGTGCTACACAATATAGTATATGACAGAGGTAAAATTTCCCTCGAAAGAAACACTATTATCCTCAATGGCGGACATCGATGTTTCGGAATAAGACACTTGCCTTACTGTCTCTTCAGCACCAATCTGGATATCATTACACTCAATTCATTCATAACATTCATGCCACGAATGATTTAAATCTAGTCATGCAATCGATGATATTAGTTAGTAACATTCATTCGCTTATTTGACTTGATCTCAGCCATAGGAATTTTGTTTGAATTGAAAGGAATATATTTTCAGGATAGATTAATTTTCGGGAAAGAAAGGTTTTGGCTTTCTACTTCTCCATCTTCAAGGAAGCAAGGAAGAAATCAATTAATTTCAAAATGGAATCTTCACAAAGATGTGTAGATCATGCAAAGTAACTTATACTGAAACTGAAAGAAATAATTCTTCTCAAAACAACTACTTTCATACAAACATTAAACAACTACTTTCAAATGAACATTAAATAATACAAAAAAACTTTTTTCTATTCAGTGTGTTCCCTGTTTTCTTCGATTACCATGGGGTAGTGCATCAGAAGTTCTTACCATACGGTCGTACGGTCATTAAGGAGTATTATCTTGAAGTTAGGCGCTGCTTTCGAAAAGTAATACGAAGAACACCTCCGGTATTGTATAAAAGCGATTCATAGCTTTTGTAACACAATAATGCACCTGGTCATTCGTCATTGCTGGTTCATGATTTTTTGGATAAAAACAACACGTAATCGTGCTTCAGCCATCTCATTCACCAGATTTAGCCTCCTGCGATTTTTACTGTTCCCAAGATTGAAGAGACCTATCAAAGGAGAAAGAAAAATAATCGATGAGAGACCTCAAAGGCATACCAAAAACCACTGGGACAAATTTGAGGACTACTTTAATGGAGACAAAATAGAAATTGATGAATAAATTACTTTTAGGAAAAATGAAAATTCACCTCGTTTTTTGAACAGACAGCATACTTATGCTGGTTATGTGGGAGTACACTTTCCATATAAAAAGTATAAAATTGGAGAAAAACCGCCAGTTATATGGTACAATAATTCTTTGGAGGAGAAGAGGGACACACTTTCAATAGTAAAATGTATCTATGATACAAAGAAAACTCCTACTGATGAGGTGGTATACAATTCACTTAAGAAAAGCTACAGGAAGGAATTGAAAGAAGCAAAAAGAAATTCATATGGACATTATATCAGTACATCAGAAAACAAATCAAAAGCTAGTTGGCAAATTATAAACTATGAGTTAAATAGGAAAACTAAAAGTAACCCTGAAACTCCAATATGTGAAACCTCTTTCAACGCTCACTTCACAAGTGTTGCTGAAAATATAATAAACCAGTTACCCAATATACCAAACGAATTGATCCAATACAAACATTTTCCTGTGCCATGCAATTCTTTTTTCCTAGCGGGAGTCACAAGCTATGAGGTTCTTGATGCAATTAATGCATTAAAAAATTCGAAATCAGTAGATACACATGATTTAAATTGCCATATCATAAGACAAACATCAGATCTAATTCTTGCGCCATTAACATCAATGATCAACTTGATCTTCAGTGAAGGCATTTTTCCAGATAATTTCAAATTTACCGGTTATTCCTATTCATAAAATGGGAGATATTACAGAAATTGACAATTATAGACCAATATCCATTATTTCCATATTTGCTAAAATCATCGAAATAATTCTGAAAAATAGACCAGTGAAATATTTTGAAAAAAAACAATTTTTGAATAATGCACAGTATGGGTTTCGACAAAATCACTCTACAACTCTTGCAATTCTTAATATATTGGAAGGCATAGTTGAGGGTCTGGAACAAGGTGTACTCACGAATATTACACTCTGTGACTTGTCGAAGGCCTTTGACTGTGTCTCTCATGAGATACTCATTTTGAAACTCAAATATTACGGTATTAGAGGGGTGCCATTGAAGTTTTTCAGTTCTTATTTAGAAAATAGAAAACAATGTGTTACTGTTAACCAAAGAAACTCGGACTTTCTACCTAAAAAATATGGTGTCCCACAGGGTTCAGTGCTTGGGCCATTCTTATTTGTCATTTATATAAATGACCTATGCAACTTCCTATTACCCAATAAAAGTGTTCTATTCGCCGACGACACTACTTTGATGAGTACCGGTAAAGACCTTATGGAACTCACTTCTTCTTCTTATAACATTGAAAAACGTGCTGAAAATTGGTTTACTGCAAACAAACTCAAGTTGAACGCAAGGAAATCCCAAAAAATAATCTTCTCCTCTATGAACTTACAAATGGGAAATACTGTCAAGCTACTCGGAATTGTTATTGATGACAAACTCACATGGTCGAATCACATAGTACAGCTCTGTAACAAATTAGCAAGTACTCTATTTCTCTTGAGGCAGTTAAAAAAAGCAATTCAACCTGATACTCTGAGAATGACATATTTCTCTCTGTTTCATTCGCAGATAAACTATGGAATAATTTTATGGGGAAATGCCACTCGTGCAATAACCATCTTTCGACAACAAAAAAAAGCAGTAAGAATTTTAGCTGGAGTTGGATATAGAGAACATTGTCACCCACACTTTATGAAGTTTGGCATCATGCCTTTACCTTCATTATATATCTACAATGCCTTATTAGAAATACACAGAAATATCAACCAGTTACAAACCCAGTCAGATATACATGACCATAATACTAGGTATGCTAAGTTATTAAAAACTCCAAGGTATGGATTAACCAAATCTCAACATAATTCTCTGAATATCAATCTATATAACTGCTTGCCGGAGAGAATCAAATCACTATCTTTTGATCAGTTCAAAAAAAGCACAAAAAAAATATATCCTTGAACACTGCTTTTATTCCACAGACGAGTTTCTCGTCACAACAAAGCAACTGAGTCATGCACTCAACACATCACTTCTCTGAAATATTCCATTCTGTTTATGTTTATGTTTATGTTAGTAACACTTTCAAAATAGCATATGTTTTATTGTATAATTTTATTCATTGAGTACTTTATAATGTATCTATTAATATATTGACATGCCATAAATGTATTTATATATGTCATGTGGTGAAAATATATCTATCTATCTATCTATGATTTCTGGCTCGACAAAACCAAAAAAGGTTCGACAAAAACGGTCAAACAGGAAAGCTGTGCTCACCGTGTTCTTTCACCGTGATCGACAGAGAACTCCATTTTCGAATATCAAAGATAAATGAGGCTCTCAAGGCGGTCAGTTGCAAGCTTTGCATCGACCGCCGACGCGATTCGTTCTCTGTATTTTGTAAAAGCAAGGCAACTAGTTGCCTTGCTTTTACTGCAAGGCAACTAGTTGAAATCTGTTAACGGAAGCAAATGTGGGGCTGAAAAATTTTTCTTCCGTAATACTTGAATGACCTCTAACAGGAAATAAATGTTTTTTACCATTAAATTCATAATAGCAACTTAACTGTTCATATTCATCAGAAATATTTTTTTACATGATGCACTTGAATTCTGAAATCATTCTAGATTCGTCCCAGAAATATCTTAATCACATCGAGTATCACTATTTAACACGACCTAGCCCAATTCTTAAATTTTCACAATGAGGTATTTTGTTATAATCATGCAGAAAGTGATCTCAAACAGGACCTAGTTTCATTGGCAATTTATCCTGAGAATGATATTTTGTGGATATCATACCAGTGCAGAAAATTATGTGAAGTCCTTTATTGGTCTCAAGAAGGTAATCCTGCTATCTGGGTACTAGAACTGAATTTTTAGGTGTTATAATCTATTCAAAACAAATGCTGTCCAACACTTTAAAAAACTTTCAAAGCGTTAGTATAGATGACAAGGACAAATAAGATGAAAGGTAAACGAAAAAATATTTTGGTTAAAAGGATACTAATACCTTTATTTTTTTCTATCGCACAAATTGATGAAAAACAAAATCAATATACATAGTTGCAATAGAAATTAAGAAAACTAAAACTACTTTATACAATAGGTATTAAATATATTCAACACAATTGTCTGTTTATGATGATAAACTTTCCATTATTTGAAAACAAAAATTCTTTAAAACATTAAAGCAAAATGTGATAAAAAATTTCAACAGGTGAACATTTTTTACATGTGCGGTCATTTGGAAGGACTTTTGTGGCCTGCAACATAATTCACTTCAGTTCACTACTCAATCAATACAATGTATATATAAAAAAATTAATCCTAATACTTCATTCTAATTTGCTTTTAATGGATCATCATAAACAGTTTTCCATATGTATAGTTTTTCAGTCTTAATAATTGTCCAGCTGATATCAGTAAAATTAACTTCAACTCGTACCAATTCTATTTTCTACAGTATGTGAAAAATAACAGTCTAACTGAACAAGAAAATAGATGACACTGAGCAATACGCATATCTGTGGCTTCTTGTTAAATTTCAAGTGATATTTTTGACTGAATACAGAGTATGAAATGAGAAAAAAATAAATTTCAAAAATTCTGAAAACACTTTTTGATATTAGGAGAGGACTAGCCATTACTTGATGAAAATCAATGATACTATCCATGATAATAATTAAAGAATTTTTACATTTTTTTTAATTCTAGACATGTTTTGCTAATACAGTAGCTTCATCAGTCACTGGACTACAATTCTCATTTACAACAGTAAGTTACCTCACGTAATTGGTTAATAGTAAATGAGATAACAGGTAGAATTTGTAAAACAAATTACAATCTCAGCTGTTGGACAGTAGGTAAATTTTGAATATGAATAAAATTATTGGCATTATGAGAAAAGATTTAATAACGGTTCAATTTCTGTCCTTTATTTTTCAAATGTAGTATTTCTTAGTGTTGAAATTGTGTTTGTTCTCCAGAAGGTGGAACGCATAGCTGAAATTGGTCTTCTTCAGTTCAAAACGGGAATCTCCAAACGTAAAAGAAGTTTCGAACTGCAGAAGACCCATTCCAGCTATGTGTACCACCTTTTAGAGAACATTCAAGATTTCAACACTATCTACAACATACTACATATACAATATAACAGACAGAAATTGAACCTGCTGGAGTTTCTGGAAATCAATAAGGGCAAACATGAAAATTTCCTATTGAAAGATTAACAAGAGGTTAAACCTTTTTTCATAATTCCAGTAATTTTATTCATATTCAAAATGTACCTACTGTCCAAGAACTGAGATTGTAATTTGTTTCACAAATTCTACCCGTTATCTCATTTACTATTAACCAATCAAGTGAGGTAACTTACTGTTGTATATAAAAATTGTAGCTCAGAGTGTACTATCAATTACTACTGATGAAGTTATGTTGTTAAGGAAAAATGTCTAGAATTTATAAAAGTTTGTGAAAATAGTTTAATTACGACCATTTCTATATAATTTCTGCAGCTGATACAAAGCAATCATATTACTTAAAGATATTACTTCAGAGGTTCGGACTTCCATTGTCTAAAAATATGGCAAAGAAAGGAGAGGGTAAACAAATAAGAAAAGAATTTTAAACTGTTATTTCACATTTCGATGGTTCACTAACTCATTCCTGATAATTTAAGGTTACTTAAGAGTCAATTAGAAATACTTTCCTCCATTCTCTTCTTACGTTATTACTTATGTGCACTGAAGCCTGTTTTTTGGCGTGGCTGAATCCTTCATTTTTCGATATGCATACACAGATTTTTTCAACTTTCTTCAAAAACAGTAATTCTTCAAACGAATAGTTCATTGTATTGGTGAGTCTACACATGCTCCATCATTTCGAACTTGTTGATGTCGTCTTTACTGGGTGGTCTTTTTGTTCTCCCTAAATTCTGACCACCAACGGCTTGATTCATATCTGATCTGATCTGATGACAGCAGTTCTTCAGAGTCATTGGGTGCTACATTTTCGAGAAGCTGCTAAAGATTGCGTGGCAATATCTAAAGCAGTCTATTGTTTCTTAGAACCAATTCTTCTTATCCTCTATAAAATTTTCAACATTTTTTATACTTTATATCTGGTATTTCTTCTTTCTAATATCTTTGGATATTATGTTAATATTTGACTTAAGTCATCTCAAAATTTTAGTCTCGAATTTTTGTTTTTATGTCACAAATCACACGCAAATCCTTAGCTCGCACAAGTTTTGACTTCAGAGGGTTGTCAGCCATAAAAGAGCGTAGGTTATTTGTTACCATTTTCAGACAATGGAAATCTGAACCTCGAACATTCAACATTTATTATGAACTAACTGAATTTTTACAGTGGGATCTTTCCTAATGAAGTAGGTGTGGGACATCGAAAGGATTAAAATTCAATTTCCTTCATAAGACTTACAAAAAAACGGAGATATTTGTTTCATGTTTAGCACATGAAATTGTGTTTTTTTGTCTTTTTTTTTGATTTTCTCCTGAACAGAGTTAATTCAATTCATTTTTCAAAACAGCATGTGACAATCTATTATATAAAAAAATTTCAACAGATTTGATAGATATTAGATAGAGTATTCTTCAATTTGACTCAAATGGTGTAATTATAAAAAATGAACAAATTACATTCAAAACAAACTGTGAAGTTTTACATTTCTAGACAAAAAAAAGCATAAAAAATAATCTGTTCAGTGTATAAGTACTGTTACTACATTTTGAAATCAGAGGAATAAAGTATTTTGGTTAAACATGTTCAGAACAAAGGCAATTCAATCGCTCGATAAAACATTTTTTTGAAAAAAATTTTGCTGAATGAACAGATTGATGGTCTCTGGATGCCAACCACTAACTAACTAAATTCCTTTACAAAATTAATAAATTATCAAATTGCATTTTGTGTCTGAAGTATTGTTTGTGTCAATGGTATCAACTAAAGTGGTCAATACAATTCATATTTACCATAGCCTTACTATTAAATCATTCGGCCGCATTAGGAGCACACAATTGACCATGTTGAGAATACTCACTTTGTTGAGGAATCTAAACAGTCATCTGTCTAAGTCTCTAATCTTATTGACTGGTATCATTTTTTGAAATTTCATTTAGAATACTCCTAAATTATGTTTCAGTTTGCTGAGCAATATTTTTTCGATGTGATAATTGACTAAATTCATATCTAGTTCAATGGGAATGGGGTGGTTCATAGGTTCATAGTTGAGTTACTATAATACTCCACATCTATGACTGACTGCTTAATACTGACTACGTACTTTTAGTTTTAGAATTCAACCTAAAAGCTTATGTAATATAACGGCATAACATTACATAAAAATACATAAAAAATCGAACTCTCATTCTGTAGACATTTAAAGCTTAACATCAATAAAATTCACACTCTCATTTTTACACCCATTTATAACAACTCCCATTATTTGATAGGGTTAACGTTAAAAAAGACATTTTGAATATATACAAATTCCTGACAAGATTTTTCTTAATAAATAATAAATATAAATTTTATTGGGGACATTAACATAGATACACTCATGATGGAAGTCTTCTGTAAGGTGAAAATTCAAATAAATAGTTCTTTACACAAATTCTCATCGCATAAACAATCAAGAAATGTGTTGGTCATTTGCTGAATTTTCCACTAAGAGTTGCCTTGAGTTGCCAGCTGGAAACAAAAAAAAAGAAAATTTTAATACTCTTAAAATACCTTCAATTTTTCAATTCAATACATTCACTATATTCATATGATGATTTCAATGTGACAAATTATGAGCACTTATTTGGTCCTTTAAAACAAAACAATAAATTAGAGTGTGATGTTTGATGAAACTATAAATATTGATATCAACGTTGACTTGCCCACATACACACACATATATATAGTTAGTGAAACTTGAAAGGTGATTGAAGTGACCTAGCTAAACATAAAAGTTATTCATGCCCTATTAGCCACATTTCTTCAATGCCCATTTTTTTAATCATACTGATAAAGACTAACCTTAGTCGACTAAAGAATCGTTAGCATGATTTCCAATGTAAAACATATCTATTCACATTGGAAGGGGTATATTTTTAGGAGAGATCAAGCTGCCAGCTTGAATGCTTTAACCTTTAATATAAGTATAAATATATATATTCGGGCTTTTGACCCATCATCAGTATGATGCAGCCAAGTGCAAAAGCACGAAGTCATCAGTAGAAGCCAGCCGCACATTTGTGGTTTCGAACCTCTCTAGTTTTTTTCATTGATTTTCATAGCCACTGTAATAATAAATTCAGTTATGTATTACAATATATGTCCGTATTTAAAAAAAATAACGTCGCATTAAATGGACTCATATCAGATTAAAACAAAATTTGAAACAGTATTGGAAGTTTCTCTCCTTTTTTTATATCATTCAAAATGTCGTCGATGAAGCCAAAAGACAAAATTTGACAATTCTAGTTTTCGGAAAAAGATTATTTTAGTTCACTCAAGTAAGAAACTTTTGTCCAATTCAACCAACCTTGCAGGTATTTCTATTTCCAAGACAGCAATAGCGGGATCACTTCCGAATTGAAAAATCTTGACAGAAATTTAAAAAATCTAAAGAAATGAACATTAGCCACTGATGAGTGGCTAATGAGCCCGAAACCGGCCTGCAAGTGTGCCCGTTCCAAAATTGAAGGTCGACTTTTTTAGTTGTATTGCCAATTGCATATGCAGGAAATTTTCTGTGAAGATTCCTGCACTGACGCCTGTCGGGTATAATCCAACGCCATTCGTGGTATTAGCCAGGGGAGTAGTTGTTTTCTAATAGGCGTCAGTCCATATAACCTACTGTGTAGGTATATTCGAGACTGGCTTGAACGTTTAAAGTTCATTTTTTTAGATTTGTTTACTGCCAGTCTTCAAGCATAGCCCACTGACTAATAACAAAGATATTAAAAAAAAACTTTTTGAATTTTTTGGTCTGTATGCGATACCACTGAACTGAAATCCAATAATTCTAAAAGGTTTTTAATTGTAATAAACTTCTACAAATTATTATTACTAGTGTTAAATATACTGGGTCACTTATTACATGAAACAGAAAAAGTGATATATAATGGTGCAAATAATTGTATATTCAATGTACAAAATCTGTTAAAAGAATAAGGTGAATTTTTAAATTTCGCGGGCTACGTACATTCGATTAGCGATTTTTTATGTTGCTACACTCGTCTCGAACATATGTTCACAGTTTGAGCTGTTTTTCATGTTTATTTTTTTGTTGGTGAGAAGCATAAAAGTTGAAAGTGTTTTGCGTGTTCGGCGATTCTGTTATCGAAAAAAATTAATCGAAGAATTTGCATCAAATTTTGTGTGAAATCAAGTGCTCAAAAACATTCGAAATGTTGACAGTAGCATACGGTAATTGTACTCTGGGTCATAAAAATGTTTACGTGTGGTACAAGCTTCTCATAGAAGGTCGAGAAGATATGAATGACGATGTTCGCCATGGACGCCCCAGCATATCAATAACCGATGAAAATGTTGAGAAAGAAAATTTTCAAGAAGAATCACTATCACAGAAGCTGCTGAGAATGTCGGTTGGCTACTACCATGCAATTTTTTCGAAAATTTTGGGCATGAAGCGAGTGGCAGCGAGGTTCGTTCCACAATTGATGAATTTTGACCAAAAAAAAAAACCTCGAATAAGCCTTGCTCAGGAATTGTTGAATGACGTCAACGGCGATCCAGATTTGCTTGAAAGAGTCAAAACTGGTGACAACTCATGGGTATATGGTTATGACATCGAAACCAAAGTCAAATCGTCCCAATGGAAGAGCCCAGGAGAGCAAATACCAAATAAAGGACACCGAGTTTGGTCAAATGTCAAGGTTTTGTTCACTGTTTTCTTTCATTGCCGTGGCACAGTGCATCAGGAGTTCTTGCATGGTCAATAATGAGTATTGTCTTGAAGTTATGCGCCGCTTGTGAGAAGCAACACGAAGAAAATGATAAAGCGCCTGCTCACTCGTCACTGCTTGCTCGAAATGTTTTGGCCAAAAACACCGTAATCATGCCTCAGTCATATTTGCCCCCTGCGACTTTTTCCTGTTCCCAAGATTGAAGAGGAGGGGGGATTGAGGGGGAATAATCTGAAGGGGGCAAAATGAAAATTGATGAATCCATTTTTTTCGAGAAAAATAAAAATCACCTTATTTTTTTAACATACTTCGTATTTACCTATGAGATGATATTACAAATAATATTTACTGACAAATATAAAAACCAACACCATCACCACCACCAGTTAGCAAGATTGATCAACTAAACATACATAATAGAAGTACTTTCAACTATTCCCCATTTGCCGTTGTTCTCGATCAGTGTTGATTTGATGAGCTGCTCCTGAATAAATCGAAATAAACTTGAGAGTGTGTCACTATTTGAAAAGTGAATCTTAACATATACAAGTGTATTTTCTATCAAATTATACATATACATCTATCAAGTACCCATAGCATTTGCACAGTTTAGACTTAAATAGTTTAAAGCAAGTGCACTCTCAATAAGCAGGCGTGTAACTATTTTGAGCCGCCCTAGAATCATCCTGAATGCGAACCCGATTATGCCTAGAGAGTACAGTTAAGAAAGGCTAACTCTGTATTATCAAGTGTGCCTGAAAAAATTTCAATCAATATGGCGCTAGCGTACCAGAATGTCAATATTACCAACTGAATGTGTTAGAAACTGATTCATTTCTGAAGTGTAATAGTAAAAAAAAAGATTTTCAGTTTCAAGTAAATAACAGAATATGATAGAAATTAATTTTCATGAAGTTTTCATATACAGTGTCACACATAAAGTTCGCGACATAAGGAAGTTTTTTTTATTAATAGATATAATGAAATTTTGACTTCGCAGTTATTTTGTGCTTGAGAAATGGGTAAAAAATAGCCTCTTTCCTTTTGTCATATGCTACTCTAAACCTTACGATGCACTGTTTGGAACCTTTGGTATAGTAATGAATATTACTTAGAGTTTTTTTTCCCAACACCAAATCGTTATTTTCAACACCTCGACACGTGTTTCGATCACCAAGTGATCATCTTCAAAGAGGAAGATTAAAACTGAAGGTGATCATCATCTAAGAGGAAGATTAAAACTGAAGGTGATCACTTGGTGATCGAAACACGTGTCGAGGTGTTGAAAATAACGATTTGGTGTTGGGAAAAACTCCAGTAATATCCTTTACTCTAAACCTGTCAAATTTAACATTTCTTTTGAAAATCCTCAAAAATCTGTTTTTTTTAGAAATTTCTAAAAATGCCAAAGAAAAAAAGTTGCTCCGTTCCCAATTTTATACCCTTGCTCTAAATTTGGACTCTCTACTGTCACTTCGACTTTTTTCCATTTCTTCTATTTTTCGAATCTTTCAGTCAATCGATTCAAACAAAACATTATTCAAATTTCATAATTTGGATTAATACGAGACTATGTCATATCTTGCCCAGAAAATACCCGCATTGGCCTGTTACCAGAAAAAGAAATAAATACACCTCCAGAAATTCGTCTTTATTGTTGCAAAGTTCATATGGTTTTTTCATTTCATTGTTATACTGACTCGGATTTTCAATGTATGGACGTTAATATGTCAGTAATCAAATAAACGTTCCTATTCTTATTACATTTGAATTCCTTTTTTTAATAAATTTTTATCCAGTTTGATTATTTTTTGACCAATAATTACAAACCAATAATTACAAACCAATAGTTACAAACTAATCCGAAATATCTTACTTTTATGTAAACTTAACATTGACCTATAGCTTCATAACTATTCGAAAGACTTTCTAGCGATTTGCAATAAACATTATATAAAAATTTCGTGATTTTAAACATTACAAGACTAATGCAACATGTCGGGGAGAAAAAAGTAGGTAGGTACTAATCAAATTGAAATAAAATTTTCCTTTAGTAGGCTTTTGAAAAAATTTTCAGATTTGGTTATTGTCAAATTATTGTGTTTAATGAATCGAGTTGTTTCTTACATTTATAATTCACAAATAACTTTTATGTACAATGTTATCCACACAAGACAAAGTGGAAATCGTTCTTTTTATGTGGTGAGAATGTGCTATATCGAGATGTTGCTTGTATTTTTAGTCACCGGCATCCAGAAAGAAATATTCATTTCAGTACCGTGGGAAGGATACTGAAAAAATTCAAAGAAACTGGCAATGTGGACATATGTTTCAAGAAACTCCATAATCCAATAAAGTATTGAAGAAGAATAACTCAATGTCTGTTTGAGTGTTGTTGAAAACGAAAAAACTAATATTGGGAGTACAGGGGTTGGCAAAGAAACTGTGAGAAGCCAAAGTTCATGCACAATCATGGGCAGCCATCACTCAAAAACAGTGGAATTTGACAGATAAAGCTCGAACGTTCGAACTTTATGAGTAGTTCTGCTGTTTGTTATCATATAATAAAAAAGGCATTTATTCAGTGTTTGTTTTCAGGTTAATGGCAATGTTGATAGAATGGATATAATAATCAGTCAAATTGACTAAAATCGACTATAAATTTTATACTGAAAGCCATATTTACATTGTAATTCAAAAGTGATGGCCATACTTGACAGGTATTTGTATTTGAGTTCATAGAGGTTTCAAATGATGAAAAACATAAATTTCAAACGTATTGAGAGCATTCTGCAATTTCTAGATACTCCTATATTTTCTTATCTATTTAGTGAGCAAAAAGACTATAACATACCCTTTCTCTTGTAATAATATGAAATTAGGTCTAAAATTAGGAAAGCTCTTCAAAAAGAAACTCCATATTGTTATCTTTTGAAAACAGTATATTGTAAGATATTCTCTTATTTCATGTTGAAGATTTCTAATGTTTGACAATATCCTGTTTAGAAAGGCTCAGACATGTTGTTCGAATTTCAAATACGAATAAAATCGCTACTACAAATACAGTTTAATCTTCCTCTTGAAGATGATCACTTGGTGATCGAAATACGTGTCAAGGTGTTAAAAATAACGATTTGGTTTTGGGAAGAAACTCCATTAATATTCATTACTGCACCGAAGGTTCCAAACAGTGCATCACAAGTGCAGTAAAGCAGGTGAACTTTATTATGAATAACCCAAATCATGGAATCACTAGAACATATTTAATAAACGTCATATTTTATTTATATTGTCTTCAGATATGGATGTCTGGAATAACAATCAGAAGTTTTCAAATATATCTGCTCTGGAAACTATCAAAAGTTCCCATAAAATGTAAACTGCATTACATGCAATCATTATCAGCAGTACCTATGATTTTATCATCAAGAAAAAGTAAGAAAATAACCGCTTGCAGCTTGCACATAAAACTGTGCCTTACAAGTATGAACGCTCAAAGCAATGACTATTTTACTATTTACGATTCTCAACAAAAATGAGAATATTTGGATAAGCCGGAATGAGCCTTTATAAAGTAAAATATACGGAGTCAGGTGTCACTACTTGGGTAGCTTAGGGGGCAACCCAATGAAAATACTTTTCCTCACCAGAACTGAAGCATAAACTAAACTAAACTGAACTAAAGTTTTTTGTTTCTGATTCTTCTTTCAAGTTATGTGGCAACACTAGAGGGTAATTATTCATATGTTGCAAATATATAATGAAATAAAATAAAAACAACAATAAAAATTAATTGGCGTTCCGGGGCGACTTCATTGATTCCAGTGGCGCATTTGCTTTTTCAGCTGCAGGAAAACCCGGAAAAACCTGCAGCACCACATCATCTGAAGATCTTGATCTAACAATGTCCTCTCTCTTATAAAACAAAATGTAGGGTGTCTCCAGAGGCTCCAATAAATTCAATGCATCACCAGAACACTTCGTGACACGACTATCGTCAAACTTAAACCAGTCCGTTTCTACTTTGACCAAGGCATAATAATGACCAAATTCAACGCCAGAACCACAGTGAACAATGACTGCATGAATATTATAATAGTGGTCTGCTAGGTTGAAATGTTCATCTATTTCGAACCTTCCAAAGAGTTTCTTGCTTCCGTTAGAGGTTGAGTCTTGTTTGAAAATCATCAGTGTTATTATTAGATTGACTGGAGCCTCAGCTATACTTGTTTCCTTATATTATTATTATATTATTTTATTTTTATCGTTGTTTCAATATAATGAAATTAACATTTGAATATAATTTACAGTTTTACATTTCCTTCAGTCTTGAATTGTTTTGATTTCATTAAGAGAGAACTTTTATTTATATAGTACTTGATAGATATAAGATCAAACCTCACTGATGTTTCCAACGAGGTCTGATGCTAAAAAAATATATGTGGTAGATATTATAAGTCTAGAAACGGTATGGTAACAACGCAACATAGTTTCAATTCATACTCCAAATACATTTGAGTTCACGATAATCATAAAAAAAGTCACTTCTAAGTTACCATTTTTGGAATTCATTAGAGTATAACTCAAAAAAAATTCAATCTTCAATACATTAAATTTACCGAACAAGTCATTTTTTTGTAGAGAAAAATCAGTTTTTCATCGACCTTCTCTGGGTATTTCTACCTTTCACATTCTGAAAAATATGAAAATTGTAATGGAGAACTTTATAAGAGAAAGCAAATATTTCTAGTTTACCCCGATAAGCCACTGCGTAACTTATCGTAAAGTTAAGATAAGTATTATATAATTTGTCAACTTTTTTCTGATAGGCAAAATTATTGTAGGTATACGACAAGTTACTGATATGTAGAACTTTTTTTTGTGAAGAATAATTTGAGTTTACGCAGGAACTTATCGGGATAAACTAGAAAGTTTGCCTTTTCTTCATGTGTATACATTACAATTTTCATATTTTTACGAATTATGAAGGTAAAAATACCCAAAGAATATCGATAGAAAATTCAAATTGCTCTTCTGAATTCCTTCTCAAAAGTCTTCTTTGTTTCTAAATATCCACAACTACCAAAACTTATCTGAACCAAATGATTTATGTTGAATATATCTTATTAAAATGTTTCAAATGATGAAAAAAATATCTTGGTCACATTTTTGAGGACTCCCATAGATGAGTTTTGAGAAAGTTAGCAAAGTCACTTTAGGGAAAAGTTCAATAATCATTTTTCAATGATGATATTAAATATCACTCAAATTCAATGAAAAATATAAAAATACTAGTCAAATATCTTAGTGTTTATGGCCAAATGTAGCAGTGGAGAAAACATTGATAGCTGTGTTCATCCCTAAGCTGATTAATCATCTGTATACAATAACACTGACAGATATAAATAACATCACAGTGTTGAAACCTCCAGAGAAAAGATATGCACATTCTCAAAATTCTATATAATTTATTAACAGGCCTTTAAAGAAGTACCCAACTGAGTTTGGAACTAACTGAGTCAATCGTGACAAAGTAATATTTCTATGAAGCCAGATATACGAATCTTCAAACATGATGAGACCGAAGTTGTCTTTCATCTGAAATAAAACATCTAACACATGCAGAGCACCAGATTGACTATATTATTTTCATGTTTCAATTTTAGAAAACAGGCAAAACTATAGATTGGTTTTCCAAATATCCCTGAATAAGTTTTCTCTACTACGGTAAACCCATCATATTTATTTTATGAAACCAAGTTTTTGAAATAAAAGTTTCATTTTAGAAAATTAGATAGTAGTGGTTATCTGTAGTGAAAAAACCACTGGAGAAGTCAAATTATTCCTCTTGGATATTTCATAAAAACTTCATTTTGTTTTTGAAAATATCCATATCTACAATGCTTCGCCAACTATTGAAGGGAATAGACTATGCACTCACCAGAAATATAAGTAAAAAACCGAACATATATATTTTTTTGATGAACATTTTTTAAATATTGATATCCACATTGGTTAATAGATGATTATCCAAGTGAGATACACCATTAATTTGCCCAAAATATAGCGGTGAATATTTTTATGATAATAATATTAAATTGTGAGTCCTCATTATTTACTTTTGACCTAATTTAGTCAACAAAGCAGTAGCAGCACTAATGAATTATTATTTCCATTTATTTCCATTACAGAGAAAGCATAACACAGACTAATAAAAGATGTTCTTAAACATTTATTGAATCACTACGAAAAGAACTACATTACAATTCGACAGATTCAATAAATCAGCCCAACGGGTTTTGACGAGTCAAAATTGAAGAATTTTCAGTTTCATTAATCATAGTAAATAAAATGGTTCGATTCATATATTTCCTTATTGAGCAAACTTGCGATTTTGTTAGCTACATCAAACATTTTACATTTTCTTCCTATACCTACAAATAACTTTCATTATGTTATTAATATTAAACAGTTTGAAAACTATCAACTGAAAATGACTGAATGTCATCAACTTTGATGAGTTTGTATAATAAATGGCAATATTGGGGGAAAAAGTTTAGTCTAATTAATAAAAATAAACTAACTTTGATTTGTGAACTTTACAGAATAAATTTTATTTTTATTAAATTCAAATATACTCACCATGTACAGCTTCTTCTACTTTACGTTTGTCATGAACTATATAAAAAGCTGTTATCAGGAAGAAAAGTCCTCCTATAACTTCAACGAAACAAGTTGAAAATAATGCATATTGCAGGGACTTGAACTTATTCAAGTCTGTATCATCAGTTGTGGAATTCTCTGAATTGATAGGGTTCATTCCTATTCTGAAGGCATCTGATAACTGAAACAAGATAATTAATTGAAATAGTAGCACAGACTTGATATTCAAATCAATCATGACAATATCTCTTAGAAGGATAATTGATGATAGTTTTAAAAAAGACATGCAATCGAGTCAATAAAGTATTTTGAGAATTCCAAAAATAATATGGCCGATTCTTTAATGATCAATTCATTAGTTTTTTTAATCCTCTGGTCCTTGAAATACATTTCACGGTTGACTTTCGGGGAAAAATACCACCTACTCTCCTCACTGTACAACCCACAATGCCTGATATAATTTTTCAACTGTGTTTAATTGGAAGAAATACTGAAACAGTTCAACATCAACAAAGCTTCTAGTCCTGCTAAAGTATGTGTCATCATACTAAAAAAATGTGCTGAGGAATTTGCTTCATCAGTGTTTTATAGGCTCTTCAGCCGGTCTTACAAGGATTCCCTTAAGGGACTAAACAATCTTCCAAATCAGTATCAACCAATATCTTCACTAATAATAATACTTTTTATTAACAAATGTGTGTGTTTTGAAAGGTTTCCGCTATCAGCAACCTGGTAATCTGAAGTCCGGGGTGAACCACGTCTGGTGTTTTCAGTTTTTCGTTTTGGCTTCTACTTTGAAGCCATTTTCGAAAAAGTATGACTACACTGATGTCTCAATCTACCTACTCCTCAGGTAGCAACAGCTTTAAGGGTTTGATGACCTAACGCTGGGATCTCAATCGGCCTACTGCCCAGGTCTCGTCACTGGTATGCGCAAGAGTTTCAGTTACTGGTATCCGCAAGGGTCTCAGTTACTGGTATATGCAAGTGTCTCAGTTACTGGTATCCGGAAGGGTCTCATTCTGCCTACTCCCAAGCATCGACTATGAGTCTACAAGCTCTGGTCTGGGACATAAATACCAGTATTATTCCTAATAATAGGAATTTGAAATCATATTTGAGATATTACTGGCATATATAGAGTGGCCCATTTAAAATGGAGGCACCCTTATAACACATATCACCTCCTCCTTCAAAGTTGGCACTGTACTGGGGATTGTTTTTACCCTGGGGATGGATCCCATCTCTCTTCGAGGGTGAAAAATATTTCATTGGAAATAAGTCTGGATAACAAAATCTATGGATTATCTAAATCCAAGCAAATTTTGTTCTACGATTTTTTTCTCGAAAGTGAATACTTTTCATAACTTATCAGCGAATGAGTGTCAATTTTTCAATCAATAAAACAACGTTACAGACATTTTTTCGCGAATAACTCGAAAAATTGGTATTTATCAGAAAAATATCTCTTAGTAAAAATGTAGATTATAATAGAACATAAAAGAATGGTGAGTTTATGGGTGTAGATCCAATACAAATGGAGTAATAGCTTGTTGAAGACTGGTTCCTATTCATCACATGTCAAAATTGAAAGTTTCAACGTAAGTAAGCAAAAAAACAATGTGTCTTTTATGAAAAACCATAAAACTTCTTTGAAGTGCTTAAACATCTTTCATTTGTTTTTTTCATGTAAACGTTCCTGGGAGTTATGACGAAAATTATATTTGTCTCTATTGTTTGACGACAAAGAAATGTGAAAATCACCCCTTAATTACCACCCCAATTGAAAATAATCGTTAACACTTAACAGTTCACTTTATTAATATATTCTCTAGAAGTTTGACCGGTTTGAAGTACTTAGTTTTGAAATAAACTGAAAGTAAATTGAAAATAATCGTCAACCCTTTACAATACACTTTATTTATTTATATACTTGTAATATGCTTTGGAACTGTGACCGGTTTGAAGTGCTAAGTTTCGGAAAAATCAAGCCTGAGGTGAAAAGGGCATTTTTATTATTTTGATGAACATTTCCTTCCTTCAAAATAACCCAAAAAATATCAATGATATGCCAAATATAGATATACCCAAAGTGTATTTATCAATTCTGCAATGTATAGTTTTTGAGTTATTTTGATGAAAAATCAGGTACCTACTCTAGACCGGTCAAACTGCTAGAGCATATTGCAAGTAAATAAATAAAGTTAATATCCAAAGGTATAAATCTACAAGTATTAATTAACATATCCAAATGAATCACACAGTTAAATACAGAAGGTTAAAATTTTGGTATAAACCAAATACAAATTTGAGGTTAAATAGTACTTTATCAACTTCTGCATATATTCCCCAGTCATCATCTTTATTGTACACTAGTGTCTACTAGGCATATTGAATAACTAGCCACCAAGAATTCCTAAATGCTTTCTTTTGTGTCTTAAGTTTATTGAAGTTATGTTATCTGTACGATATATGAAATTGGGAATATTTTTGAAAAATAGCCCTAATACAAGTATCATCTCAGTTTTCAGTCACCTCTTTTCTGAATGAAAACACATTCAGGAATAAGTGAGATATGAACCTTCACATTTTATTAAATCATAAAATGCTACTTTTCAATATGAGTGTTTTCTTATTTTCATCTTCTAATTCTTTTGAAAATTTTTCTAGAGGTACCTTTGGACATATCACAACGTTTTTTAACCTCTCATTTTCCGATAATCTTTAATTTTCGAGTCTATATGTGTTTCTTCATAAAAAGTTCATGCGATTTACAGAAATTGTCGATCTTGAAAAAATTCAGAAAAAAATAGGTTGACAGGAATGGGATGCTTTGAATCAATTCAATGTTGAATTCGACATGATTCAAATGGAACTGCTCACTTGCTACCTGTGTTCCCTGCTGCAAATACAGAAAGTTTCATATCGAAATAGAGTAATGAATTAGATTCATTCACATTTTCTATGAATCCATTCATTCAGATCACTGCACAATATGAATGAATAGTTATTTGAATTGTTTTCCTTTATTAAAATATTCAGTTGGCGAATAATTGATTATACCAAAATATACCGATAATCTTATACCCACTATAGGTTATTATCTAAAAAGCTTACCACTCCTATTAAGTACGGGCTGCCAGCATCTCCTAGAGCATGTGAAACCAGTAATTGGAAACCTTCTGCTGTTGACCGTCTTGTGGGTAAAACAACATACTGCAAAAATTTGCATTTTATAATATGTTCAACAGTGGTTTTTGTAATCTTTTCAAATATCTAACTCTAACTCAACTAGGATTCTTCAGGTTAGTGTATTAGTAGAATATATTGAAAAGCTAATGGTTATTAACATGTGCAAAAACTTTCATATCAACATACACATATTATAATTGCTAGATAGTTTCAACATCATTCCATTTTTCATGAGAACTGTTATTCAAATCCAACAATTTGTGCTGAAAAACTGATTCTTTAATTGTTGATAAGAGTTGAAAGTTTTACAGAAGAACTTTACTTTTAATACCACAAGCGGGGTCTGAAACCAGCACAAAGGATTTTACTGTTGAAGTTGACATGAAATATACTTTTAGTTTTATTTCTTCATAAAAGTGTTTCAAGAAGGCTTGGATTTTTTTTATGAATCAATATCTTACAGTTAAAAACTTATTTGGGTAGAACATAAATTCAAATTTCAATTTCATCAGTTCGGACTTCCATTGTCTAATATAATGTAAATTGATTTGAAATCCCTGAAAGAATCTGTAAAAAAATTAAAAAGATCAACCAAAAAATAACAATCCCATCAATAACTGATGATAACCGAACTGATGAAATACATCTCGTTCTGCATTTGGGTATTGTTTCCTCACCCTCACCAGTTATCACCCGAAGACGATTGTGGATACTAACAATCGAAACGTCGTGACGTAACTTGGTTTGGAATCTTTTAATTTTAATTTTTTTCAGCTTGTTTTTATATTTATTTTTTTTTTTGGGGGAAAGAAAGTTTTTGGCTTTCTACTACCTACTCCGTCTTGATACAAAAAAAAGGATGAGGGAATCTTCCAAAGAAAGGAAGGAAGTAATCCATTTGAAAATAAGTAACTTTATACATGGATGTAAATATCATGCAAAAAAGTAACTTTCAGACACAAACTGAAAGAAAGTCCTCCTGTTGTTGCTTGTATGTTATTTCTGTGTAATTTCAATTTTTTGTTTAATAAAATTGTTATGTTTTGGTTAATCTTTTTAATTTTTTTACAGATTCTTTCAGGGATTTCAAATCAATTTATATTATATTAGACAATGGAAGTCTGAACTGATGAAATACACCACGAAACATTGTCAACCACCTTCAACCAACGTTGAAATTTCTATGTGTGTGGGCAGAATGATATTGAAATTTTTCCATATTAATCAGGTCATCCACGACCACAACATGCATGCATGCACAATGCATTTTTTTCAATTTTACAAAGCATTCTATGAGGAGGCTGACACCTTTAAAATTAAATAACAGTAATCACAAAGGCATACATTGAATTATATGGCGTTAAATTCAACATATGATATAGAAAAAAAATACTAATTTTTAAATGGAAACTGGTATATGGTTTGAAAACTCACTATACAAACAATGTAGCTGAATTAACTCACGAAGAGTAGATTGGAATTTTATGATTGTTGTGAATAGTTTAAAAATGGTGATAACCTAACTATAAATCCAACGAATATTACTGGAGTTTTTTCCCAACACCAAATCGTGTTATTTTTAACACCTCGACACGTGTTTCGATCACGTGTCGAGGCGTTAAAAGGAAGATTAAAACTAATCTTCCTCTTTGAAGATGATCACTTGGTGATCGAAACACGTGTAGAGGTGTTAAAAATAACGATTTGGTATTGGAAAAAAAAAACTCCAGTAATATTCATTACTACACCAAAGATTCCAAACAGTGCATCATAAGTATAAATCCAACGTCAATTACTGTTTTTTTTGTGTATAATCTTTCAATATCCGAAAAATAAATCATCGTGAATATATAAAAAATGACATAACGGGATAGGGGATAGCAAAGCATATTATAAAATTATCTCGTGATTACGCAATAAATTGGATTGAAAAAAATTGTCACCAAAGAAACTCATGAAAAAATTAAAAAACTCAAAAGAATCCGCATATTATATTCTTTTAGCATGTAGCAATTGTATTTCAAAAAGCTCTATGGAAATGGATCGTACCTGGTTGCCATAGCTAAGTGAAGAAGTTGAAAATGGAAATATGGATCTGAACTGAATTATCAGAAAAAATCTTGTATATGTATTCATGTAGAAACTATAGTATATAGCATCTGGACATTTAATTCTCTCGAAGTGTGTCAAAGGAGATATAGCTGTTTACAACTGAGGAATTGTTTTCAGCTATAATATCCCAAGGACATTGATAACTAACGAAATAATTTTATCACAGTTTTCGAAAGCACGTTATTTGGTAACATCCCGACGCCGAAGGCAGAGGGATGTTACCTAAAATAACGTGCTTGAGGAAGTTGTGATAAAATTATGAGTTATTTATCAATGTTCGAGGGATATTCGGTGAGAAAATTTTTTGCAATTCGAACAAAATTATTTATTGAACACACAGTTATTAAAAGAACAATTCGTATAATGATATTCCGTTGATCTTGCTGTATTTGCCTCGGTTACTGCATAGGTGTTTCCACGCATACTATTGATTATTTGGTTATGATGTTCCTGATCAATATTCAAATATGAACACCAAAGCGAGGAAGTGACATTTTCGAAATAAATTGAATTACTGAAATGTCAAACAACTTTATTGTGTTGGTTGCTTAGCAATGTCATGACATAAGTGATAACTACCCGTGAAAACTATCCATGGGTAGTTATCAGTGTAATGATGGTTTCATTGGTTATTTCGACACACATGACTAGAAATAGACAAATTTGATAGGATAATTTTTTTGGCAAAAAATTTTCAATTGAATTTTAAGTTTTATTTTCCAAAGTGTCGACCATCTAAAGAAAGCCAAGTATAAAAAATTCAATTTTGTTCAACTGATTATTCAATTTGTAGGCAAAATTTATGGATATGACAAGTTACTGACAATTGGACATTTCAATGTTTATAGTACGCAGTAACTTTTCGGGGTGAACTTTTCAGTTTGTCGTTCATTACACTTCAGCAGATTATCTTCGATTTAGCTCCGTTCATTTTTCAGATTGTGGAAGGTTATTCTCGTACACCCAAAAAACAGTAATAAACACTGACACCTCCACAAAAATGTCTTTCAAAGAATATAGAAATCCAAAAAACACTTTGTTATAAATTAGTGAAACTCCTATTCAATTTTATTGTTGAATGAAATACTAAATCAAAAAATATTTTTTATTTTACACTATTTCATGTACTTCAGTAGTATTAGACATAAGAAAGATTTCTGCCGATTCTGAATTTTCCGCTAGACTTCAATGTCATATAAAGGTTGCCTTTTATGTTTCCTCAAAGATTATTAGGTGGCGGAATTGAAAGGTAGCTTCACAATATTCATAAAATTCGTCAGCTTAGAAATTAACAACCTAATTAACAGTGAATATTTGAAAAAATACAAGCATGTGAAAAACTGGAAATTTGCACAGGAAATTACTCATGGAGGTTTTTAAGGTGACTGAAAAGATCAACATGTGATATACAATGCCCTTTGCACATCATAAATAATATTCACTATTTCCACTAAGCAGTACTGTTATAGGAACCATAATATAATTTAAACAATATTTTATAAGAAATAACTATGCAAATATTAGAAGTGGTAATCAGAAACAAACATGAATTTATGTCTTGAGGATCTGAAGAAATATTACCTTGACTATGATTCTTGTTACTTGTATGGCAGTGTAGAAGACTGTGTCTATTGCTCTTATGATGGACACTCTGGTCAGTGAGTCAACTGACCAATGGTAATAATTGCACATTCAAGAATTAGATTTCCTTTAACCATAATATTGGCTGTGACAACTGATTTGAAAACTTCTTTCTACAAACTAACTATAACAATGATGGAATCCAAGACATTTCAATAGTTATATTCTATACCAACATTATGAATTAAATGCAGATTTAACGTTTTCATGATCAAATGGAATTTGCTTGAACTTATCAAAGGTTGTTTGTTCTGCATGAAATTACAGTGTATCAAAAAATTCAGCCAGTTGCAATTTTATCAAAAGCGGGAGTTTTATTATAGAGTTACCAATAAATTATGCTAACTAATAATTATTTCATCAAATTATTGGTAGTTACATAGCAAAACATGCATCACCATCGAGAAATCCACCAAATAAAAAAGCAAAAGAACATGCAAAAGCACATAATTAAGCCATGCAGAAATATAAAAATTAAATACAGTAAAGTTTCAGTATATCATTTCATGAAAGTCCGATAACTTATTATAACAGTCGTGGTGAAAGTTTGAAAAAGGGCAATAGCCAGTGACGAAAATTATCAACATTTATTCTGAACCCGCCACCTGCAATTGAAGGAGACAGACCGAAATATAAATATAAAATTAGATATTCCTTCAACAATTTATCATCTGGGACAAAAAAATTACTGCAATAGAAAAAACAAACTTGACAAATACACACTTGAAATATTACATAATTTTATTCAAAATTTGAATATAGTAAGAGCACAAACGAAATACAAATGGCAAACACACAGACAAATATATAAAACAAATAAACCACAAAAAGGTTTTGTAACACGCCATTCTTGAATTGGTTGGATTCACTTATAAAAACAGAAAGTATTTCTAAATTATCTTTTAAATAAGGTTATTACCTCAAAAATTAAACAATGAATGAGAATCCTCACCGATACATAATGTTGAATTTTTTCAAAATATTAATGAATGGCAAAGTCTGAGAACTGATACTATTTAAAAAATGATATTTCAGACTGAAATTTTCAATAAAGGTTTATCCATCCAAAGTATGAAAAATTTCAGACAAAAAGGTTCATTTGAATACTTAACAAAAAATGGTGAGTATTTCAAAAATATATGTTACATTTGCAACTTACATATCCACCTGACAAGTAGATAAAAAAAGATAGAAGCTCAAGTCTTTCTTAAATTCAAATGGAAAAAACCTCTGTTGGCAAAAAACAAAACAAATGAACTTTTGCTTCCGGGCATTTTCTGTCAATGCTTGGTCGAGCACTAAAAATAAATGATTTGGCTCACAATTCCAACTCTAACCTTAACATTGATTTAGTAGAGCTTAATTTTTATTTTTTTCTCTGAATATAGCTTATATTCTTGAAAATTTTGCTTTTCAGCATCTTTTTTCACAATTTTTGAATTAGACAAACTGCAAATTTTGTATTACACTTTCTAATCATTATTACAATTTCGAACTTGTCTGATCATTGTCTAAAAAAGTATTTGTAACAGATTTAAATAAATGAAACAGAAATGAATAGGTATCAGGATCAAGGACCTCTATATCTATCATGTGACTGAGGTAAACCAAGGTGTTGAAGACACCATCCTGTCAGGCCATGACAAACTCTTCAGTATCTGACTTGAGCAAACTTGACCAGAGGAAAGCAAAGGTCAGGTGCTTCAAAAGCCAAGGTCTTCAATGTTGTTCAAGAGGTTCCCATCGGCTTATTCTTGTATAGCAGAATGAATAAACTGATTTCTGTGGCTTTGATGTGATCTTTTGCAGAAAGGGTCCCAACTCAGTGACAGAGTTCTGATCACCCCGTTCAGTGACATTATTTTTATTATTATATGTCCAATGTTCTATATTACCTTCTAGAAAAATAAAAATATCGAGAATAGGTAAAACTGGTTGACAAAGTATCAATTATATTACCATATGACGCATAAAGGAATCTCTAAGGAAAATTTTATCATTTCTCTAAACGAATGAGTGTTCAAATTTTCTCTATTAATTTACTAACGAAAGAAAATGTACACTTCAAATTTTTAATATCCCTATATTCACCTACTTAATTACTTACTTTTCACATATATTCTATGTGACCACTTACTTTTCAATATATGTAATTGGCAGGAGCAATTCGTGTTTCTTCATTCGTTAAACCGAAATGCTTGAGAATACAGATGAAACTAATGATGAAAAATCATATTTTGTCAATCTCGAGAAATCTCAAAATGACCGTTTATGAGAAAAACGTTATTTGAGTCTTGAATAAATATAGGTTTCAATAATAACAAATATACTTCCTATTTTTAGGTGTTTGGATGATTTTCAAACAAAATCTAAAGGTATTTATATACATCATGCCATTTGGTTACAAAGAGACTCCAACAAATTCAAAACTTTTGATTGTCATTTGTCTATTTATAGAAAGAAACATCAGAAGTTCTCTTACCAGCAAAATATCACCAACTATTGCCCAATTCATATTCAGTGATACCTGTCCGATGAACAATAAAATATAACAGAGGAGACTATTATATGTGGAGGCGTATGTTGCAGCAATAAGAAAAGGAGCTGAAAAGGCCAAACCAAATGCACATATGATCGGATCAATTTTTGGATATTTTGGTTTTAGGATCTGACTCAAGTATGCGCCCAATGTGAGACCACATATTCCTGCCGCCATGGTAATCGCGCCGAAAATAAATGATGTACTGAAACAATATGTATGTTTTTAGGAAAATGGAGTACATCATATAGAAAAATTAAATATTAATAAAATTATTGATAGGGCAACTAATAACTTTTGGGAATGAAACATATCCTTCACCTTGTAAGTGATATAACTATATCAATAGTTTGCTAGTGGAAATAAACTGTATTCTCGGAAATTTCAAAATTACACAAACAGAATGTAAATATCCTGAATTTTAATTTCAAGCTTTTCTGTTATTAACATAATTGGAAATAGTATATGACAAAGATGAAGGTTGCAAAATAGAGTAGTACACTTATACAGTTGAGACAATGATAGAATACACATGCGTTATCAATTTTTAGAACCGAAATGAGTGGACAATAAGGAAAATGAAGTGACGTGAGTACTGTTGCAAACGAATTTTTTTTTATGGAATTCAGTAAAACTCATCATCACTTCATCAATTATTCTCTGAATCAGGTGTTAGTATCCTTCAGCACCTAGTTATTTCTTTCCTTGGTTCATTTACAGTAGTTGCCTTGTAGATTTTTTATTTCAACCATCCTAATTGAAAATTTTCAGTGGAGTCAAATCAGGAGATCTGAATGGCCATTCGGTAGAACCTCTTCTTTCAATCCATCGTCTGAAAAGTCATTATCAAGGAACTGTCCTATGCAATGCAAAGCAATAGTTCTATTCAGTGGGGAGCAGCCCCGTCTTGTTGAAAGACTACCCCATTTGGCAATTAAGGATATACCTGCATGACATTGTTAATGTTTGACTGGACTTGATTAATCAGCAAATTGAAATATTCTTCACCATTCTAAAAGAAATGGTCCTATGATATGGGTACCTAAAATTCCTGACAAAACATTTAGTTTTTGGGGATATTGGGTGTGAATTTGGGGATATTGGGTGTGAATTTGGGGTGCTATATTAGGATTTGAATTACTCCAGTATTGAAAATTTCAACGATTTGAATGTATATTCCTCCAAGAAACGTAATGTACAACAAAGCATTCCGAAAGGAACATACAAAATTCAACTCATTTTCATCCAAATCAAGAATCATTCGTTATGTAAAATACGAATTTGTGTCAATGAAGAATTCTGACATAGTTTGTACAACTTATCCCTGATACTTAGAACATCTTAGTCAATGACTAAGTTCAGAATAATGTACCTTATTGTATAGTTGAACAAAAAATTTTCCGTGAGATCTTCTTTCTGTTATTTTTATCAGTACTGCACAGTTTGAACATAACAAATAGTAAAATTGTGTTTTGAGGTTGACCTATTTCGGAATTAAAGGAAAATTTAATAGAACATTTTTTTCTGGCATTGTTGTAATGTCAAAATTGTTATAGGTTTGGATACAGAAATGAAAGACCTTTCAAATAATGTGTCACTATTATTTCCATTTGAAATTTTCAATGTGAGATTTGTTGTTGGGAGGGGGTGGCTGACAAAAAAATGTGTCATCCCTTTGAAGCTTTGACATGTTTCGAGATTTTTCTACAGTCTCAATATCAAATGACTTATTCGGGGTGGCACGTTTCAACTGGATTGCAATGTATCGAAGTATGTTCGTGTATTTTATTGATGAGGCACGTGTATTCTTTCGTTATACCAATTGTAGGCTATGTAGTTCAAATACTGATTTTTACCCATTCAATATTTTGTCACAGCTATATCATTTAAAAGTATATATTTGAATTGAATGTCTTTTCTGCTTTAAAGATAATTTCAGACCTTCGAACGCTTCAATATAAGAATTCAGATGTACCTCGTTTTCCAACATCCCTCAATCACAGATCGCTGAATGAAAACCTTACCAATAATATATCAGCGACAATGGACCAAGTGAGGTTTAGGAAAAACTCGGCGAAAAATACTAGCGAAAAGCATAGTGAAGCGCTGTATCTCGCTGTCAAACAGGCGAAAAATACCAGTGGGCTGGACACCAACAAACCAACAGCACAGATGTGAGCATCAATGCGGTGATAGTTGGGACGTAGCCTTTGTGCCAAAAAGCTGCCGAACGGCACTCCTATCAAGCCTGATACCATTGAAATTATTCCAAATTTGTAAGCCACACTGAAACATGGAAAATTATTCTGATAATTTCTAAAAATGCAGTGTGAACCGATTTCTTACAGTTTTTGTTTAGGAAAAAAAATCGCTCAGATCTGTCGATTTCTATTGTGAGGGAGAAAACTTGGGCATATTTATCACCTTGTTACTTCCACATACTCAGCGGACTGAGATCCAACCCCAAAATCTTAAATGGAATTAGAAGTTAAGCGGTATCTCATTTGAACATTTGAAAGACTAACGATTTTTCATTTCAATGCTCCTTACTTTTTCAAATTTAATGCAATAGATACCTCATATTTTTATTAAGAATTGCTTTACTTGCTTGTCTACAAATATGTACATGAGAATTATGATTGAATTGAAATGAACAAATTAACGCAATTTGAGTTCTACTTATGAGTTCTACAATTTTACATTCAAGATCTTATGATACTTTAACCCTATCTATTTCAGCTTATTATTTTATTCACCATCGTCAATTGAAATAGGGAACAAGTACACTTATACTGAATTTGTTTATTGGCTAAAATTTGTAAATTCAGAAATGCGTTGCCGAACTTGAGTCCAAATCAGAACAGGATGAGAGACAAATAAATGAAGATAACGTTGACAGACGTTTACAACTTTGTGAGTTATTTAGTGAGGGGGTAATAAGTAAAATTCATATTTCAAACACTCGCTTACATAACATTTTTTTCTGAATAGGACCATTGATTAACTATCTGTACTGGTATGGCAAAAACCTCACCGCAGATTTAAGCACTGGATCTCACCTAGCCGAGGGAGTAATAGTAACAAGGTTGAAAATATGTGCAACAGATTTCCCACTCAAACTATAAGAAATCGATTTTGTTTTCGTTGATGTAACCTACTATATATATTTATATACATAGAAATGTCTGTTGCTCTGTTCGCAACTGACTTTTCAACCTGTCTCGCATTCAGCATATTCCCATAAAGTGCAAGAAAAATCTTCCAAATAACTATAGACCAGTCGCTCTGCTATCAGTTATAATAGAAAGTCATGGAGAAAGCTGTAAATCACCATATCCTCAAATATTTGGCAGGCTTCAACATCTTGAGCGATCATCAATATGGTTTTTGGAAACAAAGATCGACAGACGACCTATTATATGTCACCCATATTTGTAATAAGGCAATCAATAAACATGACGGGTTTGCTGGCCAAACTTCCATGATATGGATTATCGGATCATTTTTTGTATGGCTCTCCAGCTACCTGAAAGAATGTTCTCTGCAAGTGGCCGTTGATGGATATCTCTTGAATACTTTTACCATCATCGCTGGTGTTTCCTAGGGATCCTAGGGTGTTTCCCAGGCATCGGTTTCCTCCAGAAAGATATAATTGTCTCCAAACGATAAGTTTCTTGAGGGTTGAAATGGACACCAATATGTCTTGGCACAATCATGTCGCTGGAATTGCAAAGGCTGCTCCTCAAAAGCTTGGAATACTGTTCCGAACCAGCAACTCTTCAGCAACTTTTGATGCTTTATAAAGCTCAGACAGACCATCTTTGGAGTATTGTTCACATATATGGAACTTAGTCCCCCAGGCATAACCTGAAGCTGCTGAATTCCATCCCGAAAAGAGCCATTCACCTGATTGGAGACACGAACATCACTTGCCACCTTGATAATCTGGAACATCGAAGAAAGGTTGGAGATTTGTCCCTCTTCTATAGAAACTTTCACGGGAGGAGTTCATCGTTTTGGTGTCCAACTTAGTACACCTCGAACTTTACTGTTCAAGACCTCTTTCATTTGGAGAACTGTGTTTATGTGAAATAAACTTCCTGAGAACGTTTTTCCAAATGATTTTAATATCCAGTGATTCAAATCCAACATGAACCACTACTTTCGCACAGGCACCGCTCTTACATCGCCTCAAGGATTTTCCTGTAGTGCTTGTGTTTTGTCCTTAAAAAAGCAATTTTCACATGATACTTGAGGTCGGAGCTCATCTTTGCAACCGACATTGTCCCAGTTTTTTCTTTCAAATTCTCCTGTATAGTTTAGAAGTAGTTTGTCATATGCAAATGTCTGTAGTTAAAATGTTGTTAATTCTCATTTTTATGAACATATATTTTCTGGTTCTTGTTCTAGATTTTTTTGGATTTTCTGGGTCCGCCAAACTTCTTTAAGTAAGTATTGAATCACATACTTTATCACCAATTTTACTTTTTTTTATGTTATGCATTATTTCATTGAGTTCCCTATCACTTGTTTTGAATTCCAGTTCATTTTATGCATTTTTCATTTTACTGTAATCGGTTTTTTCAATCAAATTTTTCAGTAATATTTATAATTTTCCTCAACGATATAAATATATTCTCGAAGAAATGCAATTTTATTACAATGAAATAAAACACGATATATCACATAGTGTTAAAAAATTTCAAGTCTGGAATTTGAGCAAAGTCTTTAACTAAACTTGCAATACAATGCATTTAAAATCTATATTATAGATTTTCATTTAGTGTCAGTTACAAAAAAAAATATATTACCTCTCAGAATCAACAGTATCACTACTCTGTAATTTTATCCCCATTTCAATAAAGGATGGACCCCACCAAGCCAGAGCCCCTGCAACGAATGCCACACATGTAAATCCAGCCGTAGAAAACATGAAACTGCGACTGAAATGAAAAAGAAATAAAATATTAGCAAATATTTTTCATTAAACTAAAATTTGTGAAATATCAAGCTGTTGATGTAGTATAATTTTCAAACTTGATATTTCTGAAAAATACTATAAAGTTCAAGTTATATTGGTAAACCAATAGAAACTAAACCAAATGAACTGTAATTTAGGATGAACATGTAACTCCAGAAGGATACCAACAGAAATGAAGGGACTGTGTGTTTATAGAAATGAAAGATAACTTGAGGTTTCCAATCTCTGTTTATTTTGACATATTTCTATTAGATCAATTCAGATATCTCAACTTTATGTAAGAAACAGTCATGACCAATTATTTTCTTTGTCAGAAACCTATATAAAAATGGTGAAATAAATAGTACAGGACTTAGCAGCTGAATGAAAATCAACTTTTTGAATGTGTTTCATCTGCTGATTTACAATTGTTTACGAGAAAGTATCATAAGTGATGTTCTTGGTTTCCAACCGGCATAAGTAGAATAACTACAATTAGGTATTCGATGGGGGGGCCTACGTTGACGTGACCAAAAAATGGGTGTTCAGAAAGGAGCAGAGAGACAAAACTGAATCCAAAGTACACCCCTTCCATTAAAATTATGACTATTTTGTTATTGCCATTGTAGTGTAGAAGTTATGTTATTAATGCTTAATTTTAATTACATTACGACTGGGTAATAGTGCGATAATTAGATATTTGAATGAATAAAACAAGAAAATATATTATTTTCATTTTTACTACATCGAATGGGGAGTTTTCTAAATTAAATAAGTGCTATGAGTTGGAGATTTCTTGTGCTGTGAGTATATGTCAAAACAGTAAAGTTGGTCATTGACCGACTTCACTTTTTTGACATCCACTCACAGCACAATCAATTAATAAGTTAACCAATCAATTTTCAATTTTATTGAAAAACTGCAGTAACGTTAGTTACAAAAATAGTGGTAAAAAACAAAAGAAGTTTTATTTCAGATTTTTCATGATAATCTCCTACCACATAGTAATGACTACATCCATCAATTTATTCACATTTTCTGTCGAGTTTTGGGAATATTGTAGAAATAGCTGCAGAGGGTCCACCGGAGCCAGCAAAATTTTGAAAGTGGTCTATGATAAAAGAAAGTTTGACCAAAGAAAAACTAACAATGATATTGGAATTACTAAGAATTTTTAAAAATGTTTCATGAAATAATCTTTGATTTTGCGTTGCCCCACTACCGTTTACTAAATGTTCCATCAATTGAGAAGATATCAAAAGTAGCAATTTGAAAATAGATAAAAAATAATGGGTATGATCATGGTAAAAAAATAGAGCAATAGTTTTTTCAGACATCGCCTTCAGTTAGAGTAAACGTAGTTTAACAAAGGTTTCAAGTGTTTCATTTGCCAAAAATAGAAATCATTTGAAAATGTAACACCTGGTACAAAGATACGAGGAACAACACACAAAACAGTAGTTTTCATCAAACTAAACCAAAAGATTGCAAGAAATCTGAATATTAGTTACGTTTTGGACACACTTGCTGGAAACATGTAACCAAACAAATTTCTTAAAAAAAAAAAGCTTCTTGGTTTCCTACTCCTCCATCTTCATACAAAAAATGTGTGAAACTTCTGTAGAAAAAAAAGCGTTTAAGTTCAAAATGAACTCTTTATATAAAGTTATGTAAATTATGTAAAAAACTTTCTTTCAGATACACACTGCATGAAAAAGGCCTTTCGCAACAACTATTTTCACATGAACAATGAATTAAACAAATGGAAAAGACCTTTCAAAACAATTACTTTTATCTGAACATTGAATCACGTGAAAATCACTAATTCCCATTGACTATGTACTACGAAGCATCATTATCAAATTGAAACAGATATCGTTCACAGGAATGCTACATAACGTAATAATGAAAGAGCATTGAATCAAAATTTGAATTGAAAGGGTTATATTTTTAGGAGTGATTAATTTTTTTTGGGAAAGTTTTTGACTTATATGGAAATCTATCATTCTTGAGTTGTATTACTTCCACTGACATACATTCGTAATCTTGTGCGAGAAATGGTTGTTTTATCTTCAAACGTTCAAAGAAGTACTAATGAGGAATTGAAGACAAGTGTTTTAGATCCAAAACCTCAAGATGCATAACTTCAAGTATGATAGATTTCCATGTAAGTGGAATTTTATATCAATGCTTCTTTCACGTATTACGTTGTGTAGTGTTCCCGTGATTCAATTGTATAAGGAAGATTTGAAGTTCAAAATGAGTGGGAAAAAGTGATTCTCGTGTAACTCAATGTCCATATATGAAAAGAGAAAAAAGTACTTTCTTTTGTGTAATACAATGTCCGTGTCAAAGCAGTTGCTTCAAAAGGGCGTTTTCTTCCAGTTTGTATCAGAATGGAACTCCTACTTAGGTATCATCTTTGTGAAGAGTTGATTTTGAACTTACTTGATTCCTTCTTTCCTTAGAAAGTTTCCATATCATTCCTTCAATTCAAATTTCAATTAGTTGATTAGTCGACACACAAGAGTAAATATTTATTGAGATTGGAGTTACAAAAACACATTACATTAAAACGGACAAAACTTTTGAAACAATATAATATCTAGTGTTTTAACACAATGGCCTGATTTTAATTATTTACTAAATTTTTGATATTTTCAATTTGCTTAACGAATATTGCCAAAGGGAATTTTAAGTTTTCCGAAAATAAAAAAAATTATTGATACTTACTTATGAACAATATCTTTAATATCTTCCACCCATGGAGTAGCTTCCATATGACCACTACATTCACTTTGTCCTCTTTCTGGATCAACTAGCACGAAAATAATCAGTGCAACCGCTATCACACCCAGAGCTGGAGTTACCCTCAAAGCCCATTGCCATTGGCCGACTGCCTTTGCTGTTTCTGATCCTACAATGTAGCCCATACCACTAGAAGAAAAAAATAGGTGAGATTAAGGTAACTCTTCAACAACAATAAAAAATATAAAGTATAAAAAGGAAAATTAGTTAGTTTAGGTTAAAAGTGACTGGATCTATTTGACCCTTCACCTCAACGCGCAATAGTTTATTGTGCCTCAAAAAATTAAATAGTAGTCACAAAGTTTGAATGAAATAAAATTAATCATAGAAATTAATTTAAATTTGACTAGGGGTAATAAAATAGGTAAATCGTCAAATAACTTATTATAACTATATTTCTTTAACGTAATTATTATATAATGTTATTGCTGTTGGAGTAATCTTCCATATCTGACTTGAATTTTATTGTTGATAAAAAGTTTCGAAACTTGGAAGGCAGAAATGGGTCACGAAAAAATTGTTATAGATAAATACACGTAATTTATAATCACGTGCTAAAAGTAGTTATTTGCCAGATTGAAAATAGTACTCAATTTTTTTTAAATAGTCACAATAATAAATTCGTCAATAAAATCTGTTTTAAAAATCTGTTTTAAAATCTGTTTTTCCGTTAATCAGCTGCCGCCCCCATACGAACGACAACTCTCAGAAGTTGAGAAACTTGTGCGAGCTAAGGACTAACGAGGTATTACCTTTTAACGTGTGATTCCTAACATTAATAACATAGAATATCATAAAACCACGGCTTATTTACGCAGCGATTAGCATTAATCCTTATCCAATTAGGTACCTTAAATACATTGTGCATTTAATACAGATCAATATGTCCATTAATTTGAAAGAATATTTTCGAATATATTACAGATTAAAATGCAGGGACATAGCGGTTGCGGCGGAACCGGTCGGGGGCCATCGGGGCGTGTCTATAAATAGCGTGTCGAAGGCCGCGCTTCGCTCTATAGCACTTTATAATTAGCAGCGATCGCATGCGTTTATATAGGGTATTTATTAAACATGCGGCAAAAAATCAAAGGACTATTCTTAGCCTTCGACTATTCTAAGGATATTTTGTCTATTGATGACTTTTGATAGGGCGCTTTGTTTAGAAAATACGGGGCGAAAAAGAATTTCGACAATAATAATTTTGGTAATTTTGAAATTATTAACGTTGCCGAAATAAAAGTAAAGCGTACTACACTGAACCTATGTTCCATTGATACCTATGAACAACATTACGATTACTACAAACGGCTGTAGACATTCTCTTTGCTGGGTGTAACACAATCAGAAACGATCCTGATGTTTTTGAAAGAGTTCGGGAGTCGATAAGGAGGAAATTGGATTCTTGCATTCGAGCGGGGTTATTTCAAACAGTTCTTATAGATTACATGTAATTTCTGGTAATAAATTGTTATTGTCGAATTTCTTTTTCGCACCGTATCTTCGAAAAAATCATCAAAAATCATCAAAGGACAAAATATCCTTAGAATAGTGGAAGCAATAGTCCCTTAAATTTTTGACGCATGTTTAATAAACACCCTGTATGTATATTAAGTATGTATTAGCATTGTATAGCACAGTGCAGAGCCGGGGAGGTTCGCTAGTTAGAGATAAACGAGGCTCTCTAGGGTGATTGGTTGCAAAGTCAAACTTAGACATCGGCCGCCGGTTAGATTCGTCCTCTGTCTCTAACTGCAGCTTTCACTGCAAGGAAACTAGCTGAAAACCAGGACCCAAACACAAAGAAATTATGATTCAGCGCTGTCTGGTGTTGATTTTGAAACAAGAGTAAAGTATCCTTATTTTGAAAAATTTCGGGAAATGTTATTTTTTTTACTTATTTCTTTACTAAAAATAAATGTTAAAACAACGAATAGACAAATACGCCAGCCGAAAGGGTAGGGGAGCTGGACTCCAAACCTGGACGAAACGAGGATGACCTTCTGAGACAAATACGCCTGCAATTAAAAAATTACACAACTGTTTTGTGTAATGATATTACAATTACCGCAAATTCGCCTGAAGACTGGCCATACAGGATGGCCGAATGTTAAGGGTTTTCTCTGTGCTTGTTGGTTCCACAAGATGGTTTGGCCCCTTGAGAATAATCTACAGTGACGACAATGTAAATCAAAGGATTTGAAAGAACATGATTCATAGGTACGATAACCAGAAAGGCAAGATACTAGGCTGACAGCTACGATATATATTTAGGTCATTACTGTACATTAATTACTATTTTCATTGAATCCTATTGCAATAGAATAATATATATCTTTTTTTCTTATATCTTTGTTGTTCTTAAAAATTGTGTCATACCTGCACCGTGTATAAATTCCAACTCTAGAAAACGAAGATATGGATGATTAATTTCAGAGACAAATTTTTGTTCACAAATTTCTCGTCAGCTCAAAAGGTAGGTTATAAATAAAAACATTTACACAGTGAAGAACTCTATTTTCTAACGAAGCACACATGCTTGCATAGGTTAGTTTTTTATTATTCTAATGGTTTTTCACTTCGGTGAATTTCAAAGGAGGATTAATCTTTGCAGGACGTTAAAAACGTTTAGATAAACACACACTATGGTTCGATTATTCAGTAAATACATTTGAACTTTCACCTCTTTCGTTTAATTACCTTCAATGGAGGCTGTGAATACTCGGTGCATTATATACAAGCAGAAGAAATTTCAAGTTAATTTGAATACTTTCATGAATAAGAGGCAATAAATAGTTTACAGACGATTATTACACGATGGAATTTCGTAAATTTGATAAATTTACGAAATTGAATGTGAGGATTGCGATGCAAAATATTATGGACAGACAAAAATATCTATTAAAGTAAGATATAAGGAACACATAGCACACTTAAAATATGGAAGACCTGAAAAATCAGCAGTCGCCCATCATATTTTGCAACAAAACCATTCCATAGACTTCAGTTCATTAGGATTAGTTAGACAGAAAAACCAGCAGTCGTCCATTATATTTTGCAACAAAACCATTCCATAGACTTCAGTTCATTAAGATTAGTTAAGACAAGTTAACAACAACAAGCAACTAGATGCCTATGAGAGTGTAGAAATAAGTAAACAAAATAATATTATGAATAACGATGACGGACCTATACCAAAGAGCATACTATATAGCTTGTTAAAATAATATTGTTGGGTTTACTGATTACCACATAAGGACACATTGCAAAAATAAATTTAGATAGGCAATATTGTGAAATTAATTTTTATATAGCTGAAAATTGTTTTATATACAGCTATAACAGTTAAACATATATTGTAAAATAATAGATAAGGCAAAATTGTAAAATTAATTTAGGTTGGTATACCTGTATGGGTGATACACCTGGATGATTTACGTGTATGGGATATCTATATAACATAAATAGCGTTAGCTTCGCGTTAGTTTCCAGTTTAATCTTCCTCTTTGAAGATGATCACTTGGTGATCGAAACACGTGTCGAGGTGTTAAAAATAACGATTTGGTGTTGGGAAAAAACTCCAGTAATATTCATTACTACACCAAAGGTTCCAAACAGTGCATCATAAGTGCTAACTCACTTATTGCGTTTGTGCTTAAAAATTCACCAATTTAATTATAAACTAGTTTCTTATAGAATATCATATTTAAAAAAATAGCAAAATAACTTTACTGATACCTCCTTCAAATATTAGCTGCTCTGTATAAAAATATCGGTCAAACAAATTGATGAGCTAGTTTATCTAATGGATATTCCAAGCCGAACTCATTTTTTACATTTCAGACTGACTTATACATGTGAAGGTGAGGGAGTGTTGCTATCGACAAAATGAGAAGGAACATTTCTCCATTGAGATTTATAAGATGGCGTGTCCCGGGGTTTTATGGCATCCAAATGAATACTATGAACAGTTAAAAAATTGTAGGAGCATAAATTATCTGGGGTAGTTTGCTGTGATTCATTATTCAATCTTGAATAAATAATCAAATAGAGTTATTGACACCTGACTGGAATAATATAACTAGTGATTACTATTATTCAGTGACATGAATCATAGTTTTGTGTATTCTATAATTAATCATTGATGAATACATTGAAAGAGGGGATGACAACAATATAACCAATTAGAAAAAAAATTAAATCAGTGGGCTCACCTTCCTACTGGAATCGCGAAGTAAAATAGGGCCAACATCTTGGAACGAACATCTCCTACGAAATAATCGCTGATAATCGTGGGTGCTATAGTGGAATAACTGGCTTCTCCTATCCCCACTAGCGCTCTGAATAGCATGAACCACCAGAAATTCTGAAAAAAATAGAATACACTCAATAACATTATGATTAGGCGGAACTTAAAGGTCAGCGAATAAAAAATTTCCAACAGGCATTCTGTGTCCAAAACAAGGTTTACCTGCACTTCATAAAAAATTTTCGTTCTTTGTGTGAAATGAATAATTTGACTTTCACTGACAACATGCAAATAACAAATACCAATCTAGCACCACTTTCCAATGTGACATTCTTCCCGAAAAACATGAAAAAACAATAGATTAATTTCTGCCAAGAATTAGTATATTTGGCCCAACTGTGCGACGGTGAAAATTCAGCAATTTTAGAACAGACTTCCCTGCCCCACGCTTCATGTCCGAAATTTCCAAAAAATTGTATGGGATGAGCCAACCGATATGCCGACATCCTTGACAATTTCTTTAATAGTGATTCTTTCTCAACATTTTCATCGGTTTTGATGTGCTGGGGAGTTCAGGGCGAGTGTCCGTCATTCACATATATTCGACCTTCTGTGAAAAGCTTGTACCACTTGTGAACATTTTTCTGCCTCAGAGTACAACCTCCATATGCCACTGTCAACATTTCAAGTATTTTTGAGCACTGACTCACTTTTTTTTAAACAGATATATGTTCGAAACGAGTGTACCAACAAAAAAATATAAAAAAATCGCTAATCAAATGTACGCAGCTCGCAAAATTTGAACATTTATCTTACTTTTGAACAGACCTCGTATATCTATAGATGACGGCTAGCCATATTCAAATATGAATACCTGGTGCAGTAATGCTCTATTCACTAGTCCTAATTTTTTTTCAGGGTTATGTTGCGATATACGTAAAATACTGAATAAATAAGTAATAAGAATTAATTTATACGCCCCCGTTGTCATTATCCACGTATTGAGTGTTCCGATAATGATAAAATTGAGAAACAGGTTTCAATTGCATAATGATATTAACATATTTACTGATTTCACCCTGTCCGGTGACAGAGGTGTCGATAAGACTAAGTAACGGCAAGACAAACATCTGGAGATTAAATCCAAGCACTAATGGAAATGTTATCCTAATTCAAACATTAATTTTTCGAAACCGAACACTGTGACGTCTATGTTACAGTTTAGGATCCATGAAAAAAAACGAACAAATTTTCTGAATTCCATTAGTTTGAAACAATTACTTAATCATTGATGGCATTGATGGCTGGACAAATAAAAATAGTTTAGATATTACCTTTCGATGTTTCATTGTCTTCGTAGGACTGTTAAAAAAAATCTGTTAAAAAATCTGTTTTTCCCTTAATTAGCTGTCGCCCCCATACGAACGACAATTCTCAGAAGTTGAGAAACTTGTGCGAGCTAAGGACTAACGAGGTCTTACCTTTTAACGCGTGATTCCTAACACTATAAATATTATTTCTCCACATATAATATTTCTCGAATTAGTCAAATGATTCAAAGGGCAATATTTATTTTATTCGCCGACCGACATCATTCCTTGATTTGTTTTCAGTACGCTACAAGTAGTCAACTACCACATCTGGTATTGTTGCCTACCAACGCTAAAAAGTGATGGAAGTTGAAAGTGATGGTAGTGAAATAATGGTATAATTGAGGTAAGAAATGATGAGCTGTATTTCAGTCAATTTTTTTTTTGAAATTCGGCAAACACAATGCTTAAAGTACGCACAGACAGACAACATAATAACGTGAGGCATTTTATTTGCAATCTTTTGTCAAAATTTCTTTCATAAACTTTTATTCAGTAACTATGAGACAATTCGTATTTTTATTTCGTCAACGAATCAAAATTTGATAATTTAATGTAAATGTGACAAGTTTTGATTAGCGCTAATATTATTTTTACAAACTTCCCAAGATATTCCACAAGTCAACTGTGAAATTTTAAAGCTTTCAGTGACTCTTCACTTTTTTACATTCGTCACAATTCAGTGGTGGACACATTACTCATTATGAAGATCAACTAATTTTATTTGGTTTTGACTTAGACTAGTTTGGAGCTGGAGTTCAACAAAGATACATTATCGAAGAATTGTGTCCCTACAGATTTCAAATAAGACATGAGTACTTGCTGAAAAACTATTTTTAGGTTCTGAATTTTCAACCAGAATTGAAACGATTTTGAATGTAGTGTAATAAACAAAATAACATTGATTTCTAATATAACATCAACTGGAACTATGTTGTGTATTTCAATAAAAAATGTAAAAGTTAACTTAAAATGATTCCAGCCTTGGCACGGTCAGTGTCGAAGGTTCAATCATAAATATAAATATTATGAACAAATATTGGCGCGACTGAGGAAATATTGACGCATATTCTCCATATTTCAGCCTCAAGTGTCTGTATAAATGTAATATTTTCAGAATATTTTTAAAAAGTCATTGAATTTGAACAGCTGCACTCAATTCATAACGATATATACAGTGCATTTCTTTAATGTCCCCCCCACCTTTTATTTTTTGAAGGGGCCAACTCAAAAAATTGAAATTTGGGATGTTGAAATTGATGTATGAATACTTTATTTTGAAGTGAAATTGACAGATGAAACTTTCAAGATGGAGACTGGGCGCCATCTGGAAAAAAATTAAGTGGAAAGGGTGGTCTTTTGACACATCTTTTTGAAGCTCCTGACGAATGCTTCACAACCCTAGAATATAATGTCAATATCTTCAACTACTACAAAATGGCGGAACTTTTAATAATTGCCTGGATACATTGACATTTAACTACATAATATGAGGTAATAAGCTTGAGGTCACTTCAGAAGATGCTCGAAACGATTGCCTTGAACTTCTTGACATACGAACAGCCTATCCGATATTTCACGCCGAACATTTTTGAACACAGTAACGACAATATCTCTACGAATATTTATTATTCTCTGCCGTATATCCAATATTGAAGCAGGTTCAGTTTTGTACACCTTTTGCTTCAAATAGCCCCATAAAAAAAGTCCAAAAGTGTCAAATCTGGCGAGCGGGCTGGCCATACTGTAGAACCTCGACGGCCAATCCAACGAACGGGAAAAGTAGTATCCAAATAGTTTCTGGAGTAATGTGGTGGTGCTCCATCTTGTTAGAGTACAATACAATAGAATTCATTAGGATTCGCTTCGACGATTTCAGTGATGAGAGGATCAACAGAAGTTTCCAGCATATTCAAATACAGTTCCCCTGTTGAATTTTGATCAATAAATAGAGGTCCTACAATCTGGTTTCTCAATATTCCTGCCCAAATTGGGTATGTGTTTCCTGAAAAAAGTGAGGGTTGGTGTCACTCCAATAACGGCAATTTTGTCTGTGAACATTGCCGTTTGAAAAAAAAGTATATTCGTCACTGAAACACGTACTGTGGAGATAGGTAGGATGCCTTGCAATGGTTTCCGTCATGATTTCGCAGAATTTTGTTCTTCGATTAGGGTCATCTTCAGTTAATTAGTGTCCCATTTCAATTTTCTAAGGATGGTACCTATTCCTCTTCAAAAGTCTCCACTCAGCAGAAGGAGGCACCTCACAAATATTCGCGACAGACAATTATTTGCACTTGCTGTTCTTCCGGAATGGATGGATGACCTGGGGGCTTTTTTTATGTAAACTACCGGTAGTCGTAAATTTGGATACAAGTTCCCTCAAATATTTTTTACAGAAAAGACGATTTGTAGAACGTTCATTGAAAATCCTTTCGGTCTCGTGAAAGTTACGCGTCGCACCGTAAATAAAAATTTTTTCAATTTTTTCTTCCGATGGACGAGAATTGACCATTTTAGAGATTGTTGACGTGGTATCCTTCTACTAGTAAAACCGAAAACTAAATGAGATTATTCTAACTGGACAATGATGTTCATTGTCGTACTGACATTTTTTGACGTTTTTATAAACAAAAAATAACTCAACAAACCTTATCGGGTTGTTGGAATTGCCATATGGCAGATAAAAAGGAATATTTCTAGAAATATCGATATTACTGTGTTTGTCTTCAGGGAATTATTAAATGTTCCGCAATTTTGTAGTAGGTGAAGATATTGACTTCATATTCTAAGGTTGTGAATTATTCCTCAGGAGCTTCAAAATGATGTGTCACAAGACCCCCCTTTCCATTTAATTTTTTTCCCAAATGGCGCCCAGTCGCCATCTGTCAATTTCACTTCAAAATAAAGTATTCATGCATTAATTTTATTATCCCAAATTTCAATTTTTTGAGTTGACCCGTTCAAAAAATAAAAAGGGGGGACATTAAAGAAATGCACTGTATATTCGTTTTGGAGAAAACTATTGTCAGTGAAAAAGAAAGAAACATGTACTTACATCCATAAACGAACCAAAAAGTGTCGTTAAACTCCATAAAAATACACCAGCTGCCATTATCCATCGCCTGCTGTACCTGTCACCCAGATAACCGAATAGAGGTGCAAATATCATATAGCTCAGCACAAATGCAGTTTGAAGTAAACCGGCCTCACCGTTATGTATGCCATAAAATGTTTTTATGTCGCCAAGTATTCCTGAAAAACAAAAAACATGCATTAGAAAGGATTCGAGAGTTACCCAATTTTAGTTTTTCAAATTGAAAAGGAAAAACTAATTTACTGTCATCATGACAAGATGACATGATAAGATCCTGTCCCGAAACTTCGAAGTACACCATTGAGGATGAGAGTGACATGTGAGTGACATTTTATATCGATACTTTTTCACAAATCACGTTGTGTAGCGTTCCCACTGTGTTTCGAATATGACAATGATTGATGAGGATAAAAAATCAAACAGACTAGGAGCTTTTACCGAAACGTTACCTAATCCCACAGAGATGTATGATGCCATCATTCTTCTTCTATGGGTTTACGGAGAAGTCCATAATGGCATATATATCTCTTTTGAGTATTGCTTACTAAACCGATTTCAATGTTTGAAATAATGGTAACATTTAAAGTGGTAATTGAAATGCTATTCAGATGGAAACGGATATAAATCATTCATTATCCAAATGAATTCGTTGAAATGTGCATGCACATAATAATTGCCCCTACAATCTAAAATAAATTCAAGCGTTCTCACACCGACGCGACGCTACCCGCGTGATAAAGGAAAGTTGCAATTGTATTGGTTTCGTAATTCGTAGTCAGCTTTAAAGCTGACAAGCTGATGCGACAATACGATAGAAAAATGTAAGCATATATGTGGGCTATTCAAAAAATGAAATGAATGATCAAATTGCGCTGGCTACGTTCATTCAATTGGCGATTTTTTCATTTTATGTTGGTACTCTCGTCTCGAGCATATTTTCACAGTTTCAGCTGGGTGGGAGGCATAACATTATTTTAAGTGTTCGGCGATTTTCTTCTGTCAAAAAAATGATCAAAGAATTTGCATCAAATTTTGTGTGAAAAATGAAATCAAGTGCTCAAAAACATTCGAAATGTTGACAGTGGCATACGGTAATTGTACTCTGAGTCAGAAAAATGTTTACAATTGGTACAAGCTTTTCACGAAGGTCGAGAAGAGAATGACGACGGTCACCCTGGACGCCCCAGCACATCAACAACCGATTAAAATGTTGAGAAAATGAAGAACATTATTATTGAAAATCGGTTGGCTTATGCCATGCAGTTTTTTCGGACATTTTGGGCATGAAGCGTGCCTCAGCGAAGTTTGTTCCAAAATTGCTGAAATTTGACGAAAAGAACCGTCGCATGAGCATCGCTCAGGAATCATCGAATGACGTCAACGGCGATCCAGATTTGTTAAAAAGGATCATAACTGGTGAATCATGGTTACATGGTAATGACATTGAAACCAAAGTCCCAATTGAAGAAGCCCAGGAGAGCCAAGACCAAAAAAGCACGCCAAGTTCGATCAAATGTCAAGGTTTGGCTTGCTGTTTTCTTCGAATACCGTGGCGTAGTGCATCAGGAATTCCTGCCATATTATACTGAAGTTATGGGCCGCTTGCGAAAAGCAATACGAAGAAAACGCCCGGTATTGTGGAAAAACATCACGATAATGCACCTGCTCACTCTTAATTGTTTGTTCGTATTTTTTTTTTGCAAAAACCAACACCGTAATCAGACCTCATCCACTATATTCACCAGATTTGTCCCCCTGCAACTCTTTACTGTTCCCAAGATTAAAAAGATCTATGAAAAAACTGCGTTTTGCGACGATTGGGTAGATAAAAACCGAATCGTCGAGAGAGTTCAAGGAACCAAAAAGTGCATATAAGAAATGCTTTGAGGATTGGAAAAACCCCTGGCACAAGTGTGTTATATCTGAGGGGTGCTACTTTGGAGAATGAAAATTCACCTTATTTTTTGAACACAGCTACCTGTACGAAACCGGGGAGGGTCGCTAGTAATAATAAAAAACAAATTTGGAACACCAGTTGAAATTGAGAAAATAGAAAAGTTTATTGGAAATACATGACGAAATCTGAAAAGTTTAAAATTATTCCAACATCAAAATTAATTTCCATGTTGTTTGCTTAATAAAAAACAGTACAAAAGAATTCGATCATGTTGAATCACACCCTGCGATTTTCCAAATAGGTTTCGCACAAGAAAACACCTGAACACAATTCAAGTGAACGGTGAACTTTGTCCTCGAGATGAATCATTGTTTCTGAACAAAGCGAGCCCACTGGGTACCTTCATCCTTAGGGCCCATATTTCTCCATTATAAAGTGGAGTGGAGAGTATATTAGGGCCATAATTCATGATTTTAATCAAGCGTAAGTGTGAATAAGTGGCTTCTCTGCCGGTCCTATTATTATTGCATACTCACTGGTATTATCGTGTAACAGTGAAGAGAAGAGGGATATTTGATTATTTTTTATTGTGGCACACAAACGGTGCCACTTGAGGAATTTAGTGCGGTCTGTTATTTTCAGATGCTATGAACCTCACTGATATCGCACGAAATTCTCAGGGATTTGTCTTTGATAATTGAATTCTATCACACGTTTTTGAGTTTTGCATGTAGGTAGGTAAACGTGTGAGTAAAATATAGGTATTCTATCCCTGACCAATCGCATTTGAGCTACGTAAATTATTCATAGACGTATTCGTGCGCCATACCATGCTGGCCACAATATAAATACTGAAGCATAGCCTTGCCACCTAACCTCAGTTTTGAAAAAGTATTACAAAACCATTTGAAATTTCTATAGCTTCATCTTGAAAAACACTAAGAGATAAGATGTGCCACTAAATAATGACTTTAGAGATGAAGAAATTGATTGTATGGTGAGGGTTTTTCCCACGACTCTCTAGTTATGAATAATTTTAATATTTTGTCAAATAAAACAATCAGTAGTTAACGAAGTCAAGTTTTCAATGAATTTATTTTGATTTTCATTGAAGTTTACTGCTTAGATACAAAATCTATTCGAGTTCACATACATAGGACAATTATCACTAGCACATTGTCAATGTCAAAGCACCCTAAAGCGAGTTAGATGCATAGATTTCTTGCAAAATCTCCTAAAATGATATATTTTTTAAGTGGGAATAGTTTTTTTAAAAAAAAAACATTCTTGGCTTTCACTACTCGATCATTATATAGGGCGCTCCAACTAAAACTTTTCCCCCTGTAAGACAAAAATGGACGTGTAATCGAAAATTTCAAAGAACACGTCAATTTTTATTTCTAGGGGGACTAATTTTGATATGGAAATCATACCCGTAACTTCACCCCACTGCGATTTTTTCAATGGCATGGGGGGTCGAGTGATACATAACTTGAAAGGTATTTTGTCCCTCTATTACTTTTAAAAAAATTTTTGAAATTAAATGTTGAACGTTTTATTTAAGAAAAAAAAAACAGAAAATTCGCTGTCGCTCATTTTATTGCGGAAATCAACAAAAGTCATATCAATGGCAACACAATCATCGGATAAAGTGTTCAAAGTGACCTCCATCTAATAACATACAATTATACAGTCTACTTTCGAAAGCGTTCCTTACATTATTATGTCCGGAGTCAGAAATTGGCATTCCCGAACAATTCTCTGTCGACTAATGGAGGAGGTCAAGTTTCCGTTGGAACGCCCTGTATGTGATTTTAGTACAATTCAATGTTCATATGAAAGAGTTCATTCGAAAGTATTTGTCTTTCGTGTGAAAGTAGTTGGTTTAGGAGGGCCTTTTCTTTCAGTTTCTATCTGAGAGTAACTACTATGCATGATCTTTACATCTTTGTGTAGTTTATGCTCTTTTCCTTCTTTCAGAAAATTCCCACAATTTTTTGTAGAAAGATGGAGGAGTGAAAACCAAAAATCTTGCTAAGTGATTAAAAACCATTGACCAGTTTTGCTGATGCTTGTGACGATCATAAAGATACTTTTTTATAAGATAAAAACCAATTCTTTAGTCAAACGAACTACGAGTACGAGTTGAAATGATCAATACGCCACACATCTTTCAAATGCCACTGGATTAGTTCGTTCGCATGTTGGCGTATTTTTTGTATTGGAACCGTCGAAATTAGTACGTTTATGGATATTTAGAGGTCAAACAGAGGTCTCCCAGACAAAACATCAAAAGAAAAAATTTTGAAAGACCAAAAAATCCAAAAATAAGTAATCGAGCAAAAATTATTGAATGAACATTTGATCGATACTAATAATTATATTTGAAAAGATATAAATATATTATTGTTATTTAGGTACCAGGGAAAAAATAGATAATTTCAACCATTGAGTCTAATTTAAAGCCAAAAAGAAAAAAATAATAAGAAAAACAACTGGTTAGGCTTTCAGACAAGTTTCTGATTGCTTCATCATAATTGCATTGTGTCTAACGTTTCCAGTGAGATATGAAGAAAACTAAGTAGTTTGTGTGGATAGGTATCCAAGAGGCCCAGCGATTCCAACATTTTTTGAAAAGGAAATATTTCTAGAGGAGGTTCAAAGTTCATAAATAATCGAATGAAAAATAAAGTAGTTCTTATTTAAAAATGTTATTAAAGGCAAGTTTCATGATACAAGTTTTCTGATTAGTTTAGTCAGAAGTGAAGCAAGTTCGTTTTCTTTCAGGAGAAATTGTTCTTGTTTTAGCGGGGTGGAAAAATTATTCTGCATTTTTGTACACTTATACTACCCCTTTTTTCTAAATAACTGACTTTTCAAATGACAATTTACTGAAATTATCGCATATTTTAGGACTACAACAGATTTGACACTACCAGAAAACAAATCTGTTCTGCCAATATGTTAGTTCGTAAAAAAAATCATGTTTCCTTCCGATCTTTATCTTCAGAGAACGATTTGTTCATGATCTACATATTTTGCAAGGAGTTTCTATTGAAATGAATATTTTTTTCTTTAGAAGTTCTGCATTCTCTATACAGTGCTAGTCAAAAGTCCCCTCCCCCCCTCGTATCTTTGGAACGGGTATACTTATAATAATGAAATTTGGAGGGTGGAAATGAACGGATGTAGGCTTCTTAACTGGTCATAACAGGTGACGCAATAGTCATAAATGACGTCACAAGGCCACTGTGACCAAAA